GAATAGAGGTGCCTTTTGCTGGAACAAACAGCTAACCTAAGGGATAACCTTCTTCATTAATGCCACTGGTAACAGTAAAAATTAAATATATATTATGTTTTCATTTTTATTTGGAACATTTTTACATTAAAAAAAACATTTCATTGTAGGTTTTGCAAAAGAAAATATTGTTTTATATTTGTTTCCTTCACACTGTTTCTTTCTTTCTGTCGTTTTCGTCATTTTTTTTTCTCTGTCAATCTGTAGCATACAATCTATGTGAGTGCTATGGCAATAACGTAATCAAAGTGCTGAAGGCACTGCAGTTGGGACGTACAATGTACTTGAAGGATTAAAATTACCATTTTTTACTATTTCGGGGACAGATAATTCAATGAGTGAAGGGTGTTGCCGGTTGATTAATATAAAGTGCACAATTCAGTAAATGAACAGTAGTTGATACAATTATTCTATGACACACATGTTCAAATATAATATGTAGGTTACATGTACGTGTAAGTCCATCACAAACCGTTATTGGCCCTTTTTGACAAGAGCAACAAGTGAAATAAGAGCTACCAGAGGAAACTGCAAGCTCGACTATTTTAACACATGACATAATAAAGGGAGACAAAGCTATGAAAAAATAATCAATTGTGATATAAATATATTAAATTTTCTGTATCAGTATCAAGAAAACACTCAAATGGTCAATATTTTTGCATCACATTATATGAATGTGGCCATGTCATTAGAACTTATGATGGCTTTTGTTCACTGCACTTCTCATGCTAATCTCTTTCACTGTATGAAGTTTCAATCAAATTCCTTCAATATTTTAATCCTCTCTCTGAACAAGTATCATGAAATAATATAAAGGGAGATAATTCAAAAACTAAGTAATGTAGAATTTTAGTTATTTGACACAGCACTTCTGCCCACTAGCATCTACAACTGTATTTAGTTTGAGTGAGATATCATTGAAAAGATTTACTCCAGACAACCAATATTTTAAATGTTGATGTATTATAAGAGATGATAATTGTAAAATTAAGCTAGGAAAAATTATGGTTCTTTGAAAATACACTTCCTTTCACTTAACAAAGGTTTATGGTGTTGACAATTCCATTTGATTCCATATGATTTTCAAGCAATTGTTTTACTTGTAAGCCTTTTGAAGATAATGCCAAAAAAATATTTTTCAAAAGTGAAAATTGGTGAGGATGAGAATATTGAATGTTCCCTAGTAGCATATAGTAAGAGATCGAATAAATGTTTTTATATTTACATTTATTTTGATATAATGTGAAAAATAGTATCTTTTGGCACAAGGATACATTCATATATGTATTGAAATTTAAATTTTCTCTATTTCGCTTGCTTGTTTTTAATCACCAGTCAAATATCTAAGAATCAAAATTCATGTATCTTGCGATGAGACAATTATACTGAGTCACAAAATTCATGAAATGTGAACTCAAATCCAAGGTCAAAACAATTGCAAAGATACTTTTTGCGTGCCACAAACATAATATTATTTTGCGTTTTTATGAACAGACGTTTTTATAATTATTGTTATTTGTTTATGTTGAAAAAATATGAGAAACGATGTCCATTTTGTTATGTTCTGGTAATATCTCATAAATATGGATAGCTGTTAATTCTACAGTTGCAGGGCTTCTTGAAATATAGGCTATTTAGACAAATGCTGCCTCTGCTTTATGAAAATATCAGATAAGTGAGAATGTAGTCTTTCTTGTTTATCATATATGATTGTTTAAAGTATGAATATACTGTACAATGTTTTGTGTAAATTTCTAGATAGCAGATTCAGAGAGTGATAACTCTTTATGATCATTCTATCATAAAGGAACATCTGTGGAGACTGGTGAATTTCAACATGTAATTTTGCTTGTTAATATCCAATAAATGTTAATAAATATTTCTTTGGCATATACCAAGAACCAAGTTTAAAACGCACGTGTGATTAATTTTGTTGCATTATTCTAATTACGTACCCATATGAGGGGAAAATGCATTGATATCAAAATACCATATCCCTCTGAGGGTGATAGAAATCCCATAAGTCCAAGGAAGGGTTTTGGCTATTTTACAGCTAGTAAAAGACCCTACCTATTTATAAGACCACCCACAAGACCAATTCGCAATTTCTATTGTTAATTTCTGAAATTATCTAAATCATACTGCTATCAACCATTCTCCATCCCATTTCTTTGTTTTAGTTTAAAATTGGCTCCGATAATAAAACAATCAATCATTTAAAACACTTTAGACGAAACTCTTGTGATTGTATAACTGCAAACTGGGCTGTAAATAAACGAAACGTAAACAAGTAATACAATGGTTGCCGTTCACATTGGATTTTATAAAGGGCTAATTCTTATTTGATTTGTGAATATATTATTTGATAAGTTTGATAAAGTCAGAATTGAGAAATTTTTTTTTTCCAGTGTTATATGTTGTAATAAATTTTTATATGAATTCATGTTAATGCATGTATTTACAATTAAACATATGATCAAAATGAAAAATATTGACACTGATAAAGAATATCTAAAGCTACATAGGTCTAAATGATCTCTAACCCTCAAGCAGTTAGGCCCCATTGGTGGCCCAGTACAAATGAACTGACTGTGGTTTGAGACGGAAAATGAATATGTTTGTAAAGGTACGTACATGTCATTGCATATAGATTTATGTAAAACTGCAAAATCGGATCAGAGTAAAAGCTGTGATCATGCATTCATAGCACAAAGACAACAGCCAGGAAAACGTAAAGATATCTTTATACTTGGATAAAACTATCGATCAATGGTTTAATCAGTATTGAAGCTATCTGATTATGTACATTGTAAGTTTCTCATCAAAACAACACCATATGGGACAAATTTATAATTTTAACAGGATTTTAATGAAGATGTAATATATGTATAAGATTAATCTACAGTGAAAGAAGACCTGTCAATGATTTACAATAATAGTGTGGTGGTCTGATTTGAGTTCTTCATCAAAACAACAAATGCCACAAGACTAGTAAATGATGATTTACTTTCAAATTAAATGTAAAAGTAGATATATATTTTAAAGTCTTAATAATAACATACTCTACCAATCAATGATATCTGCTTTAGAGGGTTTGTAGTTTGATCACAGTCTTCCGTCAATAAGGATATTAAACAACTTTTTTGTTGGCAAGCAAGAAACATCTTAATTTCATAGCACACTTGACTTTAATCTGATAAGTACATGTACCAAGAAGTCAAAAACACTGTGCTGCAAAATTGAATGTAGAATTCTAGAGAACTTTTATTCACCTTTCAATATATTAAATGCGTACTGTAGATGATGGTTACAGTTAACATATCTTTGTCAAAAATGTTCACACATATCTTAAAATGACCTTCATCGCATAACTTTTGATTAAAATGTTTGCAGGCATTATAGAATCCCTTCTTTCCCATTCAAGCTGCCAAGTTATCATTGGAAGTCTTTCAGACAGTTTCATCAGGACGAACGGAACATAAGATTATATCCAAGGCCTTTTATCATGCCAAAAATTTGTCGCCATCAAACGTGTCTTCATGTGGAATCCTTGTTGCTAAACGTCCAATTCTAAGACAGCAAATCCCTCTTAAATTTCTAAAATAAATAGTAATATCATTTCTGTCCATAATATTCGATAAATTTCCCTGCGGAAGTTGAGGTTCTGAGGTCAAATCTGACGGCCGTATCCTGGAATGTGAAAATTGCTTGATGTGGTTTCAACTTTTCGGCATTTTCTAGTTGGGTGGTTCCAATATTCCTACCTACTTGAATAATGTTTAATCACCCTTAGGATATGTTGCCTGCTTTTTATATTTGTCTTTTGACGCAATATCTGTGATACGCAGGCTTCATAACCTCTGATCCCCTTTCAAAATTCCATTTTATTTAGTTCCGCCCATTGTTTACTCGTTTAGGGCATACGCTTTTTATTACTTGGGGACCATACGCCGCTTTTCATGGAATGGCACGGAAGTGTCACATTGAAGGTTCCATGATAACCGCCGTATGAACACATCTGCGGATGTTTCTAAATTCAAAATTTTACTATTTCACGTTTAAATGTTGAATTCTGCTTAAGCCAGTGCTAGGGGGCGTGGACGGTAACTTGCACTTTCCAGTACCGTCCATGAACAGGCTCAATCAAACCGAGCCTGCAACATTTTCAATTTTGCCGTGTTGGGCTTTCTTTAGGGATTCTGTATTTATCTATTTCATATATAATGCCAAGGTCTAAACAAGATCAAAACATTATTTATATATAACTTGCATGTACCTGTGGCATAATTATGTAATGAATTGAAATTTTCAGACATTTCAAGCATATTTTTCTAACTTTTCTCATAAACTTTAGCAGACGGTAGTCCAGAAACACCGGGCAACATATACATTATAAATCAAAGTGGATTTGAACATATTATATACGTGTGACACGGTTGATCCAAATATTGAACTTTATCTAAAAATTGGTCCATCTTTTGGTACCAATATTTCAGTATTTTGTATTGTTTAATAATTGTTATAATATTGATTCTATTTGAAAGCTAGACCCTGATCTAAAGGAATTCCGGATTCATAAGGTCTTTTACCACCAAGTTAAATTCTATTTATCCATGCCTTCTCCTACACATTTTAAGTTCTATATTACCATGCACCCTGCTAAAGATTATTTTACGCTTCTTTAAAGGGATACTGTAGATCTAAACAGTACTGACAAAAATATTAAAATGATCTTATGAACTCTAATCACGCTAAAATGGCATTTTTTTAAATCCCGGCATGAATTTCTGTATTAAATTTTGTATATTTTGTGTTTGAAGCGTACTGTAAATGTATATATTTTTACCAATATATGGTCCGAAATGACCAAAAAATCTGGACCGAAGTGTCTGGTCCGAAATGTCCATGGTCCGAAATGCATTTAGTCTGGTTCCCGTCGTACTATAAACGGAGAGAAAAGGGCAGGTAATCCAGACTAGTAATTCATTTGGAATAGTTTTGTATGTTTCGCTAGAATTAGTAATTATCAGTGACGTGTTTTTGAAAGTGAAACAAGGTAAATATTTGACTTTCTGTTATTACGAACGTTTCTTATGCTTTATGTTAGCTGTCATGAACATACCGATATGAATGCCATCCAATTAATTCAGTAATTGAGCATACATGCATTATTTTCACAACAAATTCAGACTGATTCATGGTTTGTTTTCTTTGATAATTCTTGTTTTTTTTTATATCAAAAAGACAGAATAAGTAATCAATAAAAAATGGTCGTGAAACCGAATATCTACGATTATGATCATTAAACTTATTGTATCTCTACCGGTATCACACCAGCTTCCTTAAAACTGTAAAATATGACCCTGTTCAGACTTTACGGTTCCTTCTGATTAAACCTTGGATACAATAAGGTTACATTTTGATACCAGTGTTTTTATATAGGGTTAACGCACGTTTTTCCGTGTTATAACGTCTGCAGAGTCCCGAGGAACCGTAGTCCAAATAATTAGACTTGTCAAAGAGACACCGAGATAATTTTGGACGGGCGCTGTCTTTTTCCAAGTCCAACCACGAACTGCATTTTTATGCACGGACGCTTCCCAATTAGAAGTTGTTGGGAGCGAAAACTAGAAAAGTTTCAAAGAAACGGTATACATTACCTGAACGAGAATCGTTTTTTATGCAAGGTTCCAAATTATCATACTTCAAAGTCGAACAGAAGTCTAAATATTCCACTTTAATTTTTTAATCGTTGAATGTTATTGAAAGCGGCCATATTGGAAAGCGGTGTCATGGTAAAATCCATGGTGTAACACAGGTATCGGCGGCGATCGATTGTATTTGCCAAGCTTTATTATACAATTTGTTTATGTTATTTATATGAATTATTGCAGGAATAACTCTTTTATTCACACACAAATATTTCAGCATTAAAAAGAGAACGTGAAAAAAAATTATGATAACCTTACTTACAAATTAAATAGTTTATGATGTCAGATCATACTGCATTTAAGTCCGTTTAAATTGTCAAATTAGATATTATTAAGTTGGATTTTTTAACATCTGTGATCATTAGGTGAAATTTCTGAACTACCTTTTTATTTTATAACCCTGCCATGATTTCCCACATACGAAAATACAATGTAATTGTAGGTACATCTTAATGAATTATAATTATAATTATACTATACATGATGAAGCAAAGAAGAATTTCAATTTATATTACACTCCATATCAATTTCTAGTTTATTATCTTTAAAAGAAATTGAGGACGGTTGTGAAGGGGAAGAAGTTCAAAACAACCAAAAAATAACTTAAAAATTCCGAAAAAAAATCTTAAAATTTCAAACTATAAAATGGAATTTCAGACAGTCCTCAGTACAATACAATTGTCGCACAGATTTGACGGGGTTTATGATAAAAACGCAGCAAGAGGAAATTTAGTGACCGTTATTTAGACGTTGAATAGCATAACAATGTAAGACAGATGGGAGAAATGTTAGAACGACTGTCGCAAAAGGACACCAAAACCTCTGATACCCATTAAAAATTCCATGTTGTCTAGTTCCCGTTGAACAGCACCTCTAATGTGTCACATTGAAAGTTCCATGATTACCGCCGTATTATGTACACATTTGTGGATGTTGATTAAAAATTTCAACATTATTATGTTTAAGTGGTCAATTCTGTTTAAACCGGCGAAAGGGAGCACTTGCACCTACCAGAGCCGTCTTTGGCACTCCTGTGTATTTATGTTTCGATTTTGCAGTTTCAGGCGTTTTTGGTGGGTTTTTTTCGAGGGTGGATACATGAATGTGGATAAGTTTTTTCTGTTTCTTTACATTTCTTTGCTTGCTTGCCGAACCTTGTATTGATAATCATTATCTGTTTGTTACGGTTCGGTATACATGTATACAATATGATAAACAAGATGAACAAGGAAAGGCGGCGTTCAATGAACGCAACTCCCACACGACCCAGGAACATGAACCATTGGCAAGGAGCCCAGGATGATTCTAAATTAAAACGGGACAGGGCGCAAGGGAGAGCACGGTCAGGCTTATCACTAAAATGTAACTGAGAAGGAAATCAAAGAAAATAAATAAATGAATGATTAATAGGACCACTAAGTTAACGAGCACAGGGGAAGGGGATAGGAAATTCGGGGAGGGGGCGAAATAAAGAAATAAAACTAGGGGCAAAGGGAAGATACTTACTAAAGACGAGAAAACAACAAGGGACACAAACAAAAGTGTCACCAAAACAGTATGAAACATGACCACTAAGTTAACAGGCACAGGGGAAGGGGATAGGAAATTCGGGGGAGGGGGCGAAATAAAACTAGGGGCAAAGGGAAGATACTTACCATAGACGAGAAAACAACAAGGGACACAAACAAAAGTGTCACCAAAACAGTATGAAACAACAAGACATACACCTTATACATTTATAAGTCTTAATCTGTTCATTTGAAAAATCTGATCTTCTCAATGACTTTTTATGCCCCCGCCATGTAATGGCCGGGGCATATAGTGTTACCCTGTTCCGTCATTCCGTCCTTCCGTCCTTCCATCCTTCCGTCCTTCCGTCCTTCCATCCTTCCGTCCTTCCGTCATTCTGTCATTCCGTCATCATCAGTTTCCGTTCATTATCTTAAGAACGGTTGCACACATTCAACTCAAATTTGACATATGGATATGTCATGACAAAATACAGGTCAAGTTCGAATTTGGTCATGGTTCGATGATTTTTGACAGAGTTATGCCCCTTTTACTTTGAAAATAATATGAAATTTCAGTTTCCATTCATTATCTCCCCAACAGTACAACACATTCAACTCAAACTTGACATATGGATATGTCATGACAAAATACAGGTCAAGTTCGAATTTGGTCATGGTTCGATGATTTTTGGCAGAGTTATGCCCCTTTTACTTTGAAAATAATATGAAATTTTCAGTTTCCGTTCATTATCTCCCCAACGGTACAACACATTCAACTCAAACTTGACATATGGATATGTCATGAGAAAATACAGGTCAAGTTCGAATTTGGTCATGGTTCGATGATTTTTGGCAGAGTTATGCCCCTTTTACTTTGAAAATAATATGAAATTTTCAGTTTCTGTTCATTATCTCCCCAACGGTACAACACATTCAACTCAAACTTGACATATGGATGCGTCAAAAGAATGCGCAGGTCAAGATCAAATTTGGTCATGGTTCAATGATTTTTGGCAGAGTTATGCCCCTTTCACTTTGAAAGTAATATGAAATTTTCAGTTTCCGTTTATTATCTCCCCAACAGTACAACACATTCAACTCAAATTTGACATATGGATATGTTTTTGGAATGCCCAGGCCAAGTTGGAATTTGGTCATGGTTCAATGATTTTTGGCAGAGTTATGCCCCTTTCACTTTGAAAATAATATGAAATTTACAGTTTCTGTTCATAATCTACCCAACAGTGTTACATATTCAACTGGGCAGGTCAAGTTGGAATTTGGTCATGGTTTGATGATTTTTTTGCAGAGTTATGTCCCTTTCACTTTGAAAATAATATAGATACATCTAAGGAATAAGCAGTTTAAGTTTGAATTTGGTTGTGGTTCAATGATTTTAGACAAACTTATCTTTCCTGAATGTTGGAAAAATTTTGAACTTTCAGTTTCAGCACTCATACTTTTAGCCATTATTTTGGCTACAAATATGCAATATGCTATTTTTAAAAGGTTAAGACTGAATAATTTCAGTGTCTTGAACATTGTATGAAAATGGTTTGTGTTAGCATTGAAAAGTTTTAAGGGCTTTGAACTTAAAATGAAAAAAATAATTAATGCACCATCTGAAATTTTGGCTGCATGCGGGGGCATCCGTGGCATGATGACACATTTCTAGTTTTTAATATCCTATATAAAAAAATTTATTTCAATTAAAATATGTGACCCTTCCTTTATAGTTACACAGCATATGGCTGGATCACAATAAAGTTCCTTTTTAGTAAATTAATAAAGTATGTCAAGAAGACATTTAACTTTATCAATAGGTTTAATTAAGAAATAATATATCCCAAACAGTGATTTTATCGCTCAATAACATCACTGTTTGGAGTTCGGATGCGACGAATTATATCACGAGGGCGTAGCCCGAGTGATATAATGATGCGCATCCGAACGACAAACAGTGATGTTATCAAGCGATAAAATCACCGATTTGGATATATTATTTCGATTCTAACACGACATCAACAAATAAATGCTGCTGTACCTGATATTAAGCAAAATTGCGCCTGATTTGTTTCCGTACTCATTTTCAGCGCGTCATATTTTTAGTGGTTACGTCACGTGTATAATAATTACGTCACATATCTAAATATAGAACGTCAAACAGTGACTTTATAGCATAATAACACACACTTTTGGTTCTTCTATGTTCAATAGGGAAAAATACGGGTCGTGTTAGAATATGGTATTATACATCGGCAATCGGTGAAAAAGAGCTCTTGAAATATTATTTGTACAAATACTGAATAATTTGAAGTGTATTTCAAATAGTTTCCTTCAATATTTCTTTTACGTTCTTAATTGTCATATAAATATGCATGTATAAATAAAGTCAGTATTTTATCCGAGAGTGACATTTGGCAGTCATTAGCAGTAAACAAGAAGGCAAACCACCAATTGATAAATGTTGAGTACACATTTAAAAATATTAAACAACAGGACCATTGCATTTTAGGTTAAATACAATGATACTTTTCAATAGTATTTAATAATGCACACATTTATTAAAAAATGATGAATAGATTTATTTCCCCCGATATTTTGTTTAATTTAATCTTCATGCGTAACCCACACTTACCTGCTAGACACACTGGTAGCTACTACCAGCTTTCACGGAATCGATTTTTTACGATGACGTCATAACATGTTCGCCGAAGATAGAGTAGACAGTACAAATTTGAAATAAATCGCATGTATGCGTTAAGACAGGTACAATCTAATATTTTTTCTAGGAGAAGTTAGTACTAAAATTTATATTCTATTGATCTTTAGAGGTAATTGAAGTTACTTTTAGGTTTAAGCAGTAAAAATCAGTCCAAACTATCGATAGTGTTACCGGTAGATTTTCCGTGCGTAAAAATGACAGTTAAAATTAGGCGTAACGGTTTGACAGTAAGAAAAAAAAGTCTGTAAAATGGGTCAAACCGATCACGCCGAATTAATTAGGCTAGAGGAACCGTTGGTGCCCAAGCCCGATAGGGCGAGGGCTCCAACCGTTCCGAGAGTCTCAAGCTCTTTTCTAGTTGTTAGAGATGTGTATCACATAACACTACTAGGCATTTAAACTCATCTTTTTTTTTTCACTATGTTTTAAGGTGATATTATCAAATCCTGCATATCTTATGAAATCTGTTAACTAGAGTATATTTTTTAATTATTCTACGTGCAAGTTTGTATCACTACAGGAAATTGGTTGAAACTCTACACACTTGTTCTCTGTGATGATGATGGCACCGGACCAATGACTCCGATTTACCTTTTTTGCATATTTATGCCCCTTTTCTTACTGTCAAGCAATGAGAAAAATACAGCATATTGTCTTTCAGACAGCTCTTTGTCATACATGTATATAGAAATGTAGGAACAAAGTTTCTTCCTTCCAGTCTAAGGGTACTTGTCCTGAGTCAACAGAGTGTTGATAAAGTTTTGTAAGGATTGGTGTTAATACCATGGATACAGACTTGAGTATCTGTTTAAAGGTACTACATTATGAGATTCAAAAGTCCAAAAAGATAAATGTTGAATTTCTTATACAGATCAGACAAGACACTTTAAACAGAAAGATGTGCAAAAGATCATTAAGAAATAAATCTCAGAAATAAATTAAAATTATTTTTAGCCCAATTTCAATTTTAGGTCATTTTTGTGTCATCATGTAGGGATCACTTCTTTAGTTTGAAGCTTGGGAGGCTGGTTACCAGTAAGATGAGGTCATTGATTTTGACCTTTCTTGTTCGAAAGTCATCAAGTTATTCTAATACTCCTAGTGATTTTGTCACTAAAGACTAAGAAGAAAAAAACAGTGTTAAACTGCCAATAAACACAGGTTAGGGACTACTTGTATATGCGGCTGTTATGTTTTCTCCTTGGATTATATAGTTTACAAGGCCTACGGCCTTCGTGGTTAATTTCTATACATCAAAACTCCAAACCTGTGTTAAATAGCCAATATAAACACTGCTCAGATACTATTTCTTAAATATTAAATTTATTCATGTTATTTACATCTATTATTTCAGGTGAAAGAAGACATGGCAGAGAAGGAGGATATTGCCAATAATCCATTTGCAGCATTATTTCCAAGTATTGACCAAGCACAACTTTTTATTGCAAATAAACAAATCGCAAAACAAGAAAATGGTAAATTTGAAACTGTTTGAATCATATACATGTGTTGATTTATCAGAGAAGTTACTTAAAAAAAAAAAAACATGGCCAATTGATTGATTATTTAATATGCTAAGCTTAATTCCATTTGTAGAATACATGTACATATGACATGTGCCCCCAATGTTATGTTTTACCATTTTATTAAACATTCCATTTGGAAAACTAGAGAATAATTCAAAGATATGTAATTTTTATTCAGAATAGTTCTCTTTCAATGCCTGAATCCATATAGTCCTAAAATTCAATTTGGTGTAGTTATGCCTATTTTCTGACCTTAAAGTTGCTGTGTTTGTTAAGTTTAAGATATAATACATATCGAAAAACTTAAAAAATGAATTTCGAATCATTATGCCCATTATTTTCATGGGTAATTACTTAATGAAAGTGACTGATGATTCTGTAGTCAAACTTGTTAAAACAATTCATATTCCTTATCCTAAATTGAAATTATTCTGTTTTAGGTATAATAACTTCAGTGCCGGCAGAAAGTAATTTACCTCAGTGTGCTGACATCAAAGAACTTTCCAGACAGAAAACACAGATAAGCACCCTGCTTGAACATATCTTTCTCATTACTTTGGATAATGGTATATATAAGTTAACACTTACCATATTGAATATGTAGAATTCATTTGCACGATTATCTTTAGGAGGACGATGTTGTCCTACATGACTGACTCAAAATCATTTTTGGTTGCATCAAATTTAAGAAAACACTCTTTGGTTGTGTTTAAGAACATATGTATTTCATATGTAAAATAACATATGTAAAACCAGGACCATATGAAAACCATATGAAAACAAACATGTTAAACTCATAGTTATCTTATGTTTTTCATATGATTAAGTTTTCATATGTTAAATATATGATAAATTTATTGATTATATATTTTATAAGCTTTGCTTTTTGAACAGTCTCAATTAAATTCTACATGATTGTACACAAATTCTTAAAAGATTTTTGGTCCATGCATCTTTATAACCATGGGTGTCCATAAATCGTTACACTAAGCATTTAACAGTGCCAGTTTGATACACAATATTTTCTAATGATTCAAGCATTCTATTTTGAAGAAATTTGGCAGATACATTAAATTTACTTTGATGTTTAAAAATATCTAACTGTTCTCTTTCTAAAAGAACATTTGTTGAGACCTTCTGACATAGGCTGTAAGGGTGTTGACTCTAGGTCAAGGACAAATTTAGGGCCCCCGATGATAAAATTTATAAAAGGCTATATTCATAAGGTCAATTCTCAAAAGAGTTGTAACATAGAATGTCTCTGTTGTTTAACATGTAATATAAAATGTTTCTGTGATTTAACTCACGCAAATTTTATATGTAAACAGAATAACATGATTCAGTGACTCTTGTATATATGCTTATTGTTATATTTGATGCACATTCTTCATTTAATTACTAGAAGTAGAAGAGGAGTCAGACAGACCTTCCCGCTGTGTGTACATGTCTGGATTTGCAGACACACTAGATGGACAGACATGGTTGGACTTGGAATGTTTAGATCAGGTAGACTAAATTTTACTCTTGTGGAAATGTGTATTTCTGGCTATGAATAAAAGGTTTTGTAATGTATTAACACTTTAGCTGTACATAATTACTTAAATTACAGGAAATTTCAAATTTGTTTTTCGAAATGAAAAGAATTGGTGCTGTGTTGTAACTATACAAAACCTTTACTTTTTATGAATGAAAATAAACAAAAGTTATAATTGAAATGATTTAATTGCCTCATAAATGTTTTCAAGAAAACAACATAAAATAGATCAATAGATCAGATGGAATTTTTCATGTATGATATACCTATCTAGTAGGCATTTAAAGAGTTAGCAACACAAACATTCTTTTAACATACAAGACTGCATAAGCATTTGAGCCACGTCATGACAAAAGCAACATAATGGGTTTGCGACCAGCATGGATCCAGACCAGCCTGCGCATCCGTGCAGTCTGATCAGGATCCATGCTGTTCGCTGTCAGTTTCTCTACTTGTAATAGGATTGGATGCGCAGGCTGGTCTGGATCCATGCTGGTCGCAAACTGCATTACGTTTGTTTTATCATGACGCGGCTCATTTAATCTTGATGTTGAATTAAACCATATGAAGGCACCACAGTGGCCTAGTAGTTAAGGTTGCTAATCACTTTCCCCTCACAACTGTTGGTTTGAATTTTGTCAGGGTCCTTAGATATGTTAGAAGCTATTTAGCTAATCTACTGGTGGATGAAGATGTCAGGTGCCCCTCCTTGCATTGTTTCAGGCACAAACATGCCCCTGAGGAGAACCACTGATGTTTTGTAAGCTAGCTGGAAAATCCAAAGTTCCTTGTGGGATTCGAACCAACAGCAGTTTTGAAGTCAATAACATTGACCTATCAGCCATGGACCCTCATACAACAACAAAATAAATATACATGTATACCATTTAACCCTTTCGCTGCCAGAGGGTTATTTATTTATTGATCACCTATTTGCCAGAAGGTTTTCTAAGAAATTACTATATTATTAATTTATATAATTATTATTATTTGTTATTAGTATTATAATAATTATATATGTTTCCAAATCTGCCAGTATAATAATAATTATTGTTGATGGTATAATTATCTATATATATTTATTATTATTATAATTATTATTGTTACAATAATTATTAATATTATAGAAACGGCAAAAGCTGTCCATATGAAAAATACACTGCCATATGCCGTCCCTATGGCAGTGAAAGGGTTAATAATTATATTTGCTCTATTGTTTGTAATTTTATTATGTAGAATAAAGTTCTTTGCAAGTTTGGTGGCAAAATCATCATAAAATGAAGATAAAGAATGTAGATATAATTTTTTTTATTAAATTTCATCTTGAGAAATCTTGAAAAAATGGTGGCCGGGTTACTAACCATCAGTCCACGAAATGCTTAATTTGAATTTTTACAGGCTGTATTTGAGCGATTATTGATGGACAATCCTGGATCAGATGTTATCTCTACTAAAAAAGGTCAGAAGAAACCCACAGAGGCATCTTTATCTGGAGAATCACAAGTTCTGCGATATTTGTACCAGTGTTATGAAAGGTGCTCAAACCTTAAAGGAGATAATCAGGTAGCCCTTAAGATTCTGTATGTGTCTAATGGATTTGCCCTGCTTTGAATTCGGATTAGTCAATTTGATATTTTAGGGATTTTTTTTTTAATTCAAAATACCAGTATTTATTTTTATATTAACAGGGCCTTGTCTGGATGTGAAGGCCGTTTACAAAGTTCGCAATTTTGTTTTTTAATTGAAACATATGGAAAAATATGGATTTGAAACAAAGTTTTGTACATTACAGTACGATAAGTTTGGATATTTGTTAAAGAGAAGTACTGAGGTGATTTTGTTGAATGCCAAGACTTGTATGCAGCAGACGGAACTTTACCCTAGTCAAGTATTACATCAACAGTTTATAGATCTCTATCTAGAGAACAACCATTTTCTTTCTGGTATGTACCACAATAAAGTGATTATAGACCAACAAAGTTTCCATTTTTTCCTTAACCTGTTAAATTTCTTAAATGGATTTGTTGAGTTTCCATTTTTGGAATAGTCCATAATCAATTTTGGGGAGAACAAGAATAAAAAGTAAAGTTGGTCAGTCAGCAGCAGAGGGCATGGACATGCAGACTTTCCAGACTCTATACTAGTAGCAGAGTTTAATTACATTTGGTTTCAACTGGTTGTCAAAGGTTAATAAACAGTTAGACTTAGTAGATTATTAATATTTTCTCTGTGTATATTAGAATTGAAATATTTGATAACTTTTTTTTCTTGATTTATCATATAAATTTGCAGCTTATTATATGTTTTTATAAAAAGTGCACTTAAAAGAAAAGCTTATTTCCTTATGATTAAAACAGAAAAAAACCTTACCATCCCCCACCCACCCATAGGAGAAAATAACAAACAGACAAAAGGATAAAAGAAGAAAATACCTAAGAAATTTTTGTGCTCTGTTTATGTGATTTTAGAATATTTCTTTTAAAATGTAAGTAATGCATAAGTATTTACAGTGAATTTCTTTCTAACTTTAAAAAGTAAGATTCATTCTTTTTCTTCTATTTGAAGACAGTAGTCTGGTAAAGGAATTCTTCACACAAACGGCTTCTGAGATTCACAGTCATGCTGAAGACGGCAATCTTCTCCAAGTGTTTACACCTGTCCTAGATGTCATAAAAAGCAAGTTTCAAAATCAGCTGACACTGATGCATCCTGAAGTGAATAGATACATAGATCTTCTCATGTTCTTCACAAACAGTGCCCCACTAGCTGAGGTATGTCATCCTGGTCATAATTATTCACACACTGACTCTAATATTTTATTATGCCCCACTTTTGAAGAAGTGGAGATAAATGCTTTGCTTAGTCCGACATGGACCACACCTTCTTAAACCATAAACCTATAGAACACTTAGCCTTCAGTCCTCAAGTCTGGTGTGGATGTTAGTCAAGACTAGTAGATCGATGGCCCTCATCAATTTTTGGGTCAGTTAGTCAAAGAAGCCTTGAACTAAGTATTATATCTTATAGTGATCAATAACTACAGAATGCTTGTAAGTGTCGGGGTTATATTTACATGTATCTCACCCAGGCTATATTTTCAGTATATACGGTCAGAAACTGTTATAACTAATACTATAATCATTTTAAACTTTATTGTTTATGAAATTTAAGACATGTTTTTCATCTGTTGAAGAAATTTGCTTGATGTTAACCAAGCTGTAGCATTTTTTCCCCATTATTTATTATTATTATATATATGAAATATACATTATATATTATTATATTATATATATTTCCAGACATTCATGGAATACACCAGTCCCGAGAAGACATCGAAAGGAAAAGATTTTGAGTTTTCACTACTAGGTTCTATTCTCGGACTGAGTTGTGTACCAGACCACAATAAAGTCATAGATCTGTTCAATAACCCATCTTCTACATCGAAACAGGAGCATGATATTACTGAGAGAAATACATGGCAGGTACGTCAGCAAATGTCATTGTGTTGACCGTGTTTGAAAAAATGAAATAAAATTGAATGGTGGCCTAGTGGTCACAGTGTTCGCTGGTAAACCCAGAGATTGTGGGTTAGAGCCTTGTTGGAACATGGTTAGGACCATTTCCTGATATAACATTAGAACTGGTTTGTCCCAGAAAGTGAATTTAAGAATGAATCAATGAGTCTTCAGGCCTAAAGCTAGCTAAAATTGATATGTTTAAAGTTAAACTTGAATCATTAAATTGCTCCCGTATTGTATTTTTGATGCTCCTCCAAAAAATTCTTGCAATATTGAATAAAGTTAACTAAAATTTTCATGCTTTGTAATATTTGGGGAAAAAAATCATCCTAACGGTAACAAAATATGTATGTTTCCATAGTGATATGTGTGGCCTTGAAATGAGAATGTCCTATTAAGGATAATATTAATATATATTTGTGTATTAACAGCCATTATCAGGGATCAGTATGGGAGTATATCAGCTACTATTCAGCATTATCAAATTATCACCACAACTGAAACACAAAGTTCTTCGATGGTTAGGCAAATGTCTTCTAGAAAACTCAGGTAAGATGTGCTTGTATGCTATACCTTTAGCATTTTGAATTGGAACTTGAAAATGAAATAAGTTGGTTGTTTTCAAAAGAACTTTCATTAATTTGATTGGATACTTTTTAAGTCAGTTAAATGTGTAAAAAAAAAAACACTAAAAATGTATGTCATGAAAATGACGACAGCATGCTATTGCATTTTCTCTACATGAACTAAAAAAAATTTAAATACATATGAGCCTCATGTGGGCTATCAATGGTAATTGTAATTTTATAAGTCTATGTCACCAGTATCGATTTAGGACAGCCTGCACAACCAAGGGAGCGGTGACCAAAAGGTTAAGGTGTCTGCCTCTCAACCCAGGGATCATGGGTTCAAGCCTTAATCAGGTCACAACCATGTTTCTTCATATGACACCAGTAAGGAAGCGGACTCGAAACTGATTAATATAAGTTTCAAAAACTTGTTTCTCAATCGAGTTAAATAAATATGTTTAGATTAATCGGGCTCTAAATTGTTGTCTGCTTTGTTTTAGTATGATTCAAACTCAATAAGTTGTACAGGCCCATTGAACAAATTTAGCAGGATAAGGAATGAATTACATTTTAAGTATAGATATATTTAAACACATATGCAGATATTAATATGAGCCGCGTCACGACAAAACCAACATAATGGGTTTGCGACCAGCATGGATCCAGACCAGCCTGCGCATCCGTGCAGTCTGATCAGGATCCATGCTGTTCGCTTACAAACCCTATAACAAGTAGAGAAACTGATAGCGAACAGCATGGATCCTGATCAGACTGCGCGGATGCGCAGGCTGGTCTGGATCCATGCTGGTCGCAAACCCATTATGTTGGTTTTGTCGTGACACGGCTCATATATTTAACGCATATGCAACTATGTTATAACAGGGAGGACTAAGATCTGGTCTACACATGCTCCACAAGTGTTAACACAGCTACATGTTAGTGACGGCTTCAGTTTAAATCTATCCTATGTAATGCTCAAACTATGCCAGCCATTCTCTGAAGCATGCTCACCTAAACTTCTCAAGTTACAGCCGAGCTATGTACGAGCTGTAGCGGCAGACGAGAATGACTCCAGACAGAGGGGTATTCATGCTGAAGGTATAGGTGTTTTAATTATGTTAAATTTTACACAAAATGTTAGATTAAATGTACACAAATTTGAAATATTAGATTCATGTTACTTACTCAAAATGATATTTGAAAAAACTTAACCAGTTCTAGTTGAACCACTTTCGGTTTGGACACAGAACAAAAATGTTTTATTTTGAGTTTTAGTCTCAAGCACAAAAGCAGTCTTAGATATGATTTTGAGATACCAGTTTTTATGTGTATTCGAAGCCAATTTTATGTCCGAAAGCAGTATCAAACTCTTTCTTTTTAACAGTCATGTAAAGCAATAGCCATAGACATTTCTTTGTTAAATAATAATAAATTGTTAATGAAATTTTTATTGGAATACTATTTCATTCTCATGTATGTACACTAATGAAAACTTCTAGCCTAAAGGAACTGCCTTTATTATATTAGCATGTTGCTAGGAGATGGAACCATCTAAGGGTAGAGATATGATGGAAAAAAGTCATGTTATATAGTATATACCTAATTAAAGGTCCAGGACTTTTAACGATATTAAATGTCGGTGATTTTGAAAATGCAACTGTATCCAAATATGAGCAGTCACACAGTGTCAGCCACCATATAAAAATGTAGACAGTGGCAATAACAAGGGTCAAAACACAATCATTTGCAACAGAGTGGAATGTTTAAATTTACTTTAAAACTGCAAAAATTATCATGTTTTCATTTGAACTTCAAGGGGATTTCTTTTTTCTTTTCTACTTTCAGAGTTGATCAAAGAAACATGCCTGATTCCTTTAGAGGAGAATGTAAACGTGGCGGAGGACGAGAGCTATAATTTCATCACTGAGTGTTTCTTCTTGTGTCATCAAGCTATAAATCAGGGATTTCACGCCGTGCACGAGAAGTTTATGAAGATCAACCAGGACTTACATCGTATACAACGTGCGTATCAGGACATGAGGCAACAGTTTCCTAATGATGAAGTAGAGCCCATGAGGGGTGTTAAACTACAGATGGAAAAAGGTAGATTAGTTTTTCTAGCTTGCCTCTTGAAAATAGTACGGCCATCATCTTGAATGCTTAAAAACAGAAGTTATCGTTTTAACATTTTTGTAACTGTTGATTCATATACAGCCAGTTACAATACCAATATCTTTAGAAAACAGAAACGGGCAGTGCATATCTGTACAATTGTAATACATATTGTATTTAGATTGTCTGTATACATAATTAACTCATCTATTTTGAGAATAGGGAGAGCTGTTGTACTGGCCCAAGCCTCAGTGGTTGGCGTCGCTGTTACACTTTCCTTAAGTTTTTGCTTGAACATGGGAAAATTATACATTATCCAGGCTCTTGTATTGGTGATAAAAAAGCAAATATCAGGGCTTCCACTAGGATTTTTTTTTAGGAAGTCAGGACTTCCTTTCAAGGAATTTTGGAAGTCATGAGGTAAATTTCTGGAAGTCAGTTGTTCTTACGCGTATAATTTTCATGTTTCAATATTTGATTTATAGTATGGGATGATACAAGTAAAAGCAATTATTTTAATCACAAGATTCTGAAAATGTCATTCCTTTTAATGTTTTAAGTTCAAAGTATCTTTACATGATTGTTGGGTAAATATTTTCAATAGAAGTAAGAACATTACCCTGAAAAGGACTGTATTGTTGTTATTTAAGGACAGTGGTAACCGTGTAGAACCCTTCAGTGATAACATTCAAATAATTGCTCATTGGTATAACAAAAAAAAAATATTTCTTGAAAACTTTTAATTCTTTAATCAATCATGGTACAAGTAGATTCTGAAATGTGTATGATGGGTTCTTCTTTTTCTACCTCTGGATCAGTACCATACAGCTGTTGTCTCATGTGATCAGCCTGCACAGCATTTATTCATTGTGTTTTAAAAGAGTGGATCTCTGTAGATTTCCTGAAATAAAAAAAAACATGACATCCTTTAGCATTGTTATATTTCTTATTTGTAAAATAAAAATTGTTGTTTAAATATCTCTTGTGTTTAAAATTAATTACTACAGTACCGAACACAATTTCAGTGTATCAAATGAATCTTAACACAATAACAACCCAAAATGGTTAAATTTAATCAGGCTTGTAAATTGAGAGTTTTATGAAAATAATTTCGAACACCGTTCTTGACCAAATTATTTTTTTTAATTGTACGTTTTTGAGATACGCCAAATTTTTTTGAGAGCTGGTACTGTAGGGAATAAAGATTTTTAAATGTAACTTTGCTACTCATAATTAGCGAGTGAAAAAAATATAAAATCAAATCAACATCTATAGAATGTGTGAAAATAAAACGTCTTTAACTTCAAAAAGGAAAAAAAATCAAAAGACAAAAACACGCTTCGCCAACTCGGCAAACTTTCGGATACATTCAAACTTACCGATGCACACAATAATGAATAAATCATTTTATCTAATTAAAGTAAAAACAGATACCTACCACAGTTTATGTCAATTAACTACCCATTATCCGTACAAAACAAACAACTAATCCAATCACTTTGTTTTCACGCTTATCAAGGTCATAAATCAACACTCGCTAATTCGTCACGCGCCAGGTGCATTCGCATAATTTCACCCATCGCTGTCATGTCAACCATTCAATTCAGGGGGCGGAGTTAAATAAATAATCCAATCGTACGCCTTGAAAGTGAGAAAAGGTCGGAAAATGGTTGTGGCGTACGTCACGGCTTACGATTTTCGCCGTATTCCTAAATTTTTGGAAGTCAGCGGTACGGCATTGATCTTAATTTTCGGCGTACAGATACGATTTTCGGGCGTAATTTACGGCCGTACGCCCGTTAACGGAAGCCCTGAAATATGTTGCAAAAAAGTTTGTTGTTAATTTTCAAATGATCCTGATATTGCATACAAAACCAATCATTGACATAATGCCTATATTATTAGATTGATGTTAGTGTTGTTGATTTGCTTTGATTAAAATCTAGGACAGTCCACACAAAGTTTAAAGGATTTCAATTTTAGAATACAAAAATTGAGCTTTCAACAGAGTAGAGCCTGGTCAGACAGCACTGATATGCTGGCTAGCCTGGCCCTACACTGGCAGCATAGGCTACAGTTATCACTTTTTTCCAGCTGGTTAATTGAAGGTTAAAACTTTTGTTCTGTTTTATAATTCTGCACGTTTGTAAGGTCGCTTTTCGTCGGATAATTGTGACGTTTTTATAGTTTTATATACACAGCTGCTGTCAATATATGAAAATATCACTTTTTTTCCCAAGAAAACCTTGCCCTAGCAGCTCAGGTTATATATTTCCAAACTACCATTTATATAGGGCCATATAACCTGTCAAAAATCTTTATATCTATTAATAGGAGAGTAATACTTATACACAATCTTTAATTGATTTTCAGTTAAAAAAAAAGTAAAAAAGATTTTGTTGTTGTTTTTTTTCTTCAGGAATGAAATTGTTTTTATGTATCAAGGCAGCATTAACTGAGCCCCAGCTCTTAGAGATGTCCATGAACTTCCACATAGCAACAGCTACATGGTTAGTCCAGGTTGCTAGGGCTAATGAGGTCACTAGTTTTGAACCAATCACATTCCCTCTACCAGAACAGGTGCCCACAGCACTTGGCTATGTGCCAGAATTTATCATGGGAAATGTGACTGACTTCACAATGTTTCTACATAGATTCAAAGATGACATGTATGAGGTAAAACTTGATCTTTTCCTGACTTTCTACTCTTTTTAAACATTTGATTTGTTTGTATATTGGTAACATTTAAAAAACTCAAAGTACTGATAGTACTTGTGGAAACTTATTTCAAACCACTTGTCATCCAGTCCTTTGGCAGCAAAACACAGACAATAGTGAATACAAAAACTGTTTAATCTGACATTACAACAACAACAAAACAGATTATTTAGTAAAGATAACCTGAACTATTTAATGAATTTTAATGATAAAGCAAGCTGACCTATGCCAAGCTATCCCATGCCAAGTTGATTTTAGATCAGTTTGACCATACACAATATTGTAATCAGTTGACTTGTAACAATTTTTACCACATAGTCAATTTTTAATTATTTAGGAAATTTATTGTTACCTTAATGGGTACCAAATATAAATACTAGTATATAAACACAGAGATGTAGACAATATATATATATAGTGATAGTGATAGTGGTCAGACATGGATTTTTGAGCTAAGATTTAGAGTTCATTTTTGCTGGTTATAAATCATTTTATATGACAAAAGTTGTACCAATGAATGGGAAAATAGACCATCTTTATACTTATTGGACTTAAATTACAATTAATTTCTTGTTTTCTGACATTTTGAAGGATATTGTTTTTTTTTTCTTATTGAACAAAGGAATACCATCTACATGTACAAAGACAACTTTTGGACATTCAATTGACTGTGTAAACATTCTACACTGGAGTTCAGTTATAGTGAGTGTTAATTACAAAGGAATTTGTAACATTTGCTAGGGTATTGTGATTATAAGGATTAAATTGCATAACAATTGCATTACATAGCTGGACTCTGATCAAAAGGTAACAGTTGATAATTATGGGTATAGATATACTGCTATATCGTGCAAGAATAGGCAGCTTTAACCTGCAATTACACAGTAGAGCTAGAGAGAAGAAAATATGTAAACATAATCTCAGCACTTCTGGAACTGTTACACATTTACACAGCTTGATCTGTTTTGTAATTTCATTATGGTGTCTTACATTGCTTTTAATGCTTCACAGTAAAACTCATATCTCTTTGATATATTCATCTCCCATTGAAATTGAATGTTCAGATCATCAACACCTTATATTTTCAAAAGGAACAATACCCGACATATATACTTATGGTTGTAATCTTTATGCTTCATATGCTAGCAGGGTGCTACTATTGGCTGCAGATATAGAGCTGAATCCGGGTCCAACAGAAGATACACAATTAATTCTGAATGCTATTTCTGATATTCAAGATTCTTTAAAACAGATGAAGAATGAAATTGTTGGTGTTAAAATGGAAATGACAAATGTCCAGACAGAGCTTACATCCATTAAATCAAATATTAAAAATATTGAGGCAAATCAAGTTAAAACTAATACATCTATCATTGATATACAGAGGCGTTTAGAAAATATCGAATACAAAAATGAGATTCTCGAAAGTGATATTAGAGCTATGGCAATGAATGATGAAACTTCGCAGGAGCATATCGAACAATTAGAGAGACACATAAATGTGACCGAATCTGATAAGCTGAAAGGATAATTAAGAATCTTTGGCCTTCAAGAAACAGAGAATGACCAATTTTCCTTAGAAGCTTCCGTTAATGAATCAGTATTTTCTGCTGCTCCTCCTAATGCAATGTTAAATGAAAATTCAATAAAATCTGCTAGAAGAGTTGGTAAAAAAACTGGTAAACCTAGGTTAGTAATAGTGGAATTCAAAAACCCAGATGACAAGTTCAAACTTTTTAAGTATCGTGATCATCTCAGGACTGCAGGTATTCGACTCTCTAATGATCTTACATACTTACAACGTCAGCAGTTGAAAGAACTTAATAATAGAGGTTTACGCAGATATTTCAAGAATGGTAAATTGGTAACATATAAGCCAAATCAACCTACCAGGCAACAAACAGACTCCAACAGGAGATTTGTACACGCTAATCGACATAGTTATGCCAGTGTTGTAAGCGGTGCAAATTCATTTGACATTGATTACAATATATCATCACCACAGGGGGAATTACAAAGAGGCACTATTGATAATACCAAATAGGATAACGGTCAAGGCCCAGTAAAAAAGCTATCTCTCATTTCATGGAATATCGAAGGGTTAAACCATGTTTTAAAATTTGAAAATGTGTGCAAATTTATTTCTGAATTCAATATTGTTTGTCTGCAGGAAACATGGGATGACGATAGTTGTGCTTGTTTAAATGTTGAAAAATTCACTAATTTTGCATGTAATGCTAAAAAATCTGTAGTGGGAGGCAGATCCATGGGCGGAGTTGTTATTATGATTGAAAACCAGCTTACTAGATATGTCCAAAGGATTTGTGATAATTTTGAGTATGGTGTAATGCTTTTGATAGATAAATCAATTTTTAGTATTGAAAAGAATGTGCTATTGGTCTCGTTATATTCTCCTCCAGAAAAATCACCATTCTACCAAAATATTGTGTATACATGTTTACAACGATTAGAAGCTCTAATATCAGATAATAACTTGACACAATATGAACTGTTAATCTGTGGTGATTTTAATGCTAGAATTGGTAATCTTGTTGATTATGTGTCATATTTTGATGGACCAGAGTTTCAAGATGTTAGAGATGTATTAGAAAGTGGTATTACAATTGAAAGACACTCACAAGATAACATTGTAAATAATGATGGTAAACATTTGATTAATTTTTGTAAAGAATATTCTTGTTACATTTATAATGGTAGAATGTTACCTGAAAATACAGATGGTTCATATGGAAACTTTACATTTGCTAACCAGAATGGATGCAGTGTTGTAGACTATTGTTTAGCATCCAAAAATATTTTTGATTTAACTGTAGACTTTAAAGTTTTAGATGTGATTGAAAGTACACATTTCCCTTTGTGTTTGATAATTCACTCTAGCATTAACTTTGGTAGAAATATTGAAAATATACCTACTACAGCATATAATTTTAATGAAAATGGTAAATCTGTATATTCATCTACTCTTGATGATGCTAAGAAGTCAGGTATGTTTGACAGGTTAGACTCACTGTATGAAAATTGTAATGATGTAAATATTTTACTTGATGAATTTGAGAAGGTTGTCAGTTTTTGTAGTGAATCTCTGTTGTATAGTAAACATAACAAAAACCATAGACTACAAAATAGGGCATGGTTTGGTGCTGAATGTAAAAACGCCCGTAAAATTTCTAGGTCTTCACTGCGAAAATTTAGATTATGTCCAAGTTTGGATAATTTAAACATTTATATTGACAATAAGCATTCATATAAAAATATATGTAGACAAAAAAGATATGCATATGAAAAACAATTTATAGCTGATATAGATAATAGCGTTAATAACTCCAAAGAATTTTGGAAGAAAATAAATAATATATCAAAACCAGGCAACAGAGATTCACCTATAAGTATACATACATGGTTTTCTCATTTTAAACAGTTGTTTTCTGTTGCTGATATTGATGGAGGTATTGGTGGAAATTTACCGGCTACAGTTAGTGAAGTTGTAAATTCAGATGAAATAGACAATTTAGATGAGATTGAGAAGTTTCTATTTAATAGCCAAATATCTGAGGATGAAGTAAATGAAGCTGTTAAAAAATTAAAGTCAAACAAGGCAACTGGAGGCACACTAATACCTTCACATATCATTTATGGTTTAGATACTCTACTTCCTTATATGTGCAAATTATTTAATAAGATATTTATTTCTGGGATATTCCCTGAAAAATGGTGTCATTGTGTAATTATACCTGTTCATAAAAAAGGCAATTTGCTAAACCCTAATAATTATCGAGGAATATCCTTAATTGATGTCATAAGCAAAGTATATATTAATATTATTACCAACAGAATTACTTTTTTACATTGAGGCATATGGAAAGCTTTCAGAATGTCAGGCAGGTTTTAGGAAAAACTATTGTACTACTGACAATGCTTTTATACTATACTCTATTGTATCTAAATATCTCCAACAGAAACGAAAGCCAGTTTATGTAGCTTTCATCGATTTTCAGAAAGCTTTTGATTCTATAGATCGGCCGATTTTATATGATATATTACGTAAAAACAAAATAACTGGTTGTTTGTATAACACAATTAAAATCTATTTATGTATCGGTTAAAAGCTTTGTTAAATCTAAATCAGAAGTTTCTGATATTTTTGATTGCCCCACAGGATTACGTCAAGGCTGTAGTCTAAGTCCGATATTATTTGCATTATATATCAATGAATTACATGATTTGTTCTTAAGTAATAATATAAGGGGTATTCAATTGTATCCTGATACTCTGGAAATATTTATGATTATGTTTGCAGATGATATAGCGTCTGTATCTGATACTATCGTTGGTCTTCAACGACAGCTCAATTGTCTCCAAGATTTTTGTAATCAATATAAACTTGTTGTTAATATAGACAAAACAAAAAATTATGGGTTTTAAAAATGGGGGACAATTGTCAAAACATGAACATTGGCACTATTCTGGTAAAAATATTGAAGTTGTTAAAGGATTTGATTATGTAGGTGTTCATTTTACCAGCAAATTATCTATGTACAAAATGGCAGAGCATATGTCTATTAAGGCAAAAAGAGTATTTCTGTATATTCTAAGTTCTGTTCAGGAATATGGTTGCATACCTTATAATACTTTCTTTAAAAAATATTTGATGTTAAGATAAAACCCATTATGCTGTATGGTTCGGAATTGTGGGGTCTTAGTAATATTTCCTGTATTGAATCACTCCATATATTTTGTTGTAAAAGATTTTTACAAGTAAACTCTAATGCTTGCAATGATGCAGTTATGGGTGACTTGGGACGATACCCAATGTATATCTACTCATCAAAAAATTGTATTAAATATTGGCTAAGACTGATAAAAATGCCAAACAATAGATATCCTAAATTATGTTTATAATATGCTATTATATTATGATACAATAGGTAGGAAAAATTGGGTTTCAGATATCAGAGAAAATTTATTTAGTAATGGTTTTGGCTATATTTGGGAAAACCAAAATGAAACTATTAATGATGATTTTTTGAATCTGTATGTCAATAGACTAAAAGATCAATATCTACAAAATTGGAGTGCCAAATGTATGCTTAATAAGAAATTGACATATTATTCATCATATAAAACAAGATTTACAGTTGAATATTATGTACATGTCCTAGATATTGTCAAATTTCGAAAATGTTTTGCTTCTTTTAGATGCTCTGTTCACAATCTTCTTATTGAAACAGGTAGACATTATGGCTTAAGTAGAGAAGAACGTATATGTCCTTATTGTGAAACTTCAGTAGAGGACGAGTTCCATTTTATGTTAATCTGTCCTCTATATAATGATATACGCTGCCAATATATTTCGGAAAATTACAGAATGCTACCAACACTTGCTAAATTTTATTCATTAATGTCTAACGAAAATGAAATTAGAAACACTGCAATGTATTTGTTCTATGCATTAGATAAAAGACAAAGTTTCTTAGATATTTTTCAATGAATACTGAAATACTGTTAGTTTTGTATTTAATCATGTCTGTATCACTCACTGTTTATGTATGTATATTATATATATGTTGTAAATGTTTATGGGCCGGAGGCCTAAAGACTTATCAATAAAATCTTGAAATCTTGATAAACATAAAAAGGTTTTGCATATTATTCGCAAGAAAATTTATCAAATACTTGTTATATCTCAGAAACAGACCTATTTTTCTTAGGGGTTGAATAGGTCTTTTGTGCCTTTACTGTTATTGTATTTAAATGTACACACATATGATCCTTTATACACAAGAAATCTGCTTGTTGAAATTCAAATTTTAAAAAGAATATGATTTAGTGTAAGTATATTGTAATCATCATTTCACATTCCAGACTGGAGGAAGTGGTCTCACTCACTTTATGACATTGATCCTGGTGTTTATGGGAAGTCCAGAGCGTATGAAGAACCCACATTTGAGAGCAGAGTTGGCAGAGACCCTTGCGGCATTGATGCCCCAAAACGCAGACAGTACTCGTACTAGTAGAGGAATATTATCAAAGTATAAAATTTTATTTTAATTAAACCCATTTTTGCCTGCTGGGGGTAACATATTCTTCCCATGCAACCAGTGATGACCTAGATCAGCCAGCATATCAGTTCCATCTGATCATTGTCTGCACTGTTCACTATTTATTCATTCAGAACATTATTTGAAACTTTCCCTAAAATGATAATGGTTTTGTCCAGATAGAAAGATTGGCAAACTCCTTTAAGATATTTCGTATGGAAAGGTAAAAGATGCTAATTTAGGAAATAGTAGATTTAAAGCTGCACTACTCATAGGAAAAAATGAGTTTCTGACATTCCAGTGATATAAAGACAAACTTCCTATCAACTTAAAAAAATTGAAATAACCCAAATGGCAGGAGTTGTTAAATTCACGTAACTGCTTGTAAATGCCTTGAATTAATGGTCTTGTGTGTTCTTTTTTAGTAACTTTTGAAATTATGTTTATGTAACTGTTGAAATTTTGATAAATATTTATGCATCTTTTATATTAATTGTGTTTTTATTGCAAGATTTTACCGTGAGCAATTGTTCGAAAACCATCCTCTGATTGATCATTTGGCTGAGAAGTTAATACACGTGTTTGTGAGTATAGAAATGACAGGACAGAGTGTTCAGTTCGAACAGAAGTTCAACTATAGACGACCGATGTATCAAGTGCTTCACTATATATGGGAAAAAGAGAGGCATAGAAACTCTGTTAAGGTATTGATATTAATGTTCAATATACAGTAGAACTTCGATGTTTCAAACTTCGATAATTCGATTTTCTCGGTGTCGAAGTAAAATAAAAAAAAAATTTCATGTTTCAAGTTGTTTGGTATGTCCCCTCTTAGGCCTTTGTAATTTACTTGTAAAAATCATAATTCTCTAACTGTGTAGACATCTCTGAAACATGTTTTACCCTTGCCTTTGCTGGACCCAAAAGTAATCAGCCTTTGCCACCAATATAGTCAGGCCAGCCTACATAATCCACACAGTCTGGCCAGGTTCAAAAGTGTTGGGAGCTGAAATTTTGATATTGAAATCAATAAATCTGAAGATCTGAGCAATGAAGACAGATCATTGATTTTAGTTTACATCAGATTAAATCATGTTTAAGTGTGTCGCCTCTACAGTGTAGGCATTTTTCGCTTCAATGATTTTTTCAGAGTTATTGCCCTTTAATGATTGTTATTCAAAAAAATAAAAAAATTGTCGGAAATATTTCTCTTATACAACTTATGCAATTTCAGTAAAACTTTACAGGATTGGTCTGTAGCTTAAGTACTTGTGCATATTACATGGGTTTTGGGGTTGATTGATTTTTTTTTTGGCTGAGTTATGGCCCTTGAATTAGAAAAATGCATTTTGCCCAGTTAATGTGTCTCCTGATACACAGTAGATGCAACATGTAATTGGCTATCATGCAGGCAACACACGTGATCACTGATCGCTCTTGTATTTTATTGTATAGAGATTGGCCGATTATGCAGAGAAGAACATAGAAGACACAGATGCTCCATTATTCCTACGATTTATCAACTTGTTAATCAATGATGCTATCTTTTTACTGGATGAAGCCTTAGATGTAAGTATCTAACTACAAATTTCATGCAGCAGTTACCTCCCTGGATCAGTACAATGCCACCATAACAAGCAAATTTTTTATTATTATTAATTTTCTGTTTTTACTTTCCATTTAATGATCACTTTCTTTAAATGTAATATGACTGTTGTTTGTCATAAAAGTTGCAATAAAATGTTGAAATAAATTATGAATCATCATGGCCAGTTGTTTTTGTTTTTTTTACGCCATTATTCAATGAATAGGTCTCCTGCGGTCATATGTTATATATGTAAAGTGGTTAAGAGTTGTGTAGTGTATTTAACATAAAATTAGCAAGGAGTTATCAATGTGCATGTATATGAACATGTACATGTACTTTTTGAAAAAGCCAAATGCTAAGTTGTCATACATGAATTGAAATAACTTGCCTCATAGTTTTGGTTTGTAGTTAAAGTTGCTTACTTCAATTCAGTAGCCTGTGATGGTTGTGTGAGTTTTAAAGTGAATTGGTCCAAAATGGGAAGTCTGTAATATAAATTATTATAATGATAGTATAAAGAGGATATTCAAGTTTTTTTCTATAAATACAGGCTTTATTTTCATTGAGTGGTATGAAAAAAAATATTTCATGAGTGGTGCTAGCACATTTTACCCTGATAATGGTAGTTTACTTCAGAAATTTTTAGAGAGGTGCCTCAGTGATTTGTTTTACTTAGTGAATAGAGGCTACATACCTAAAAATTATGAGGATTTCTCCTTATCAGATCAATTATTTAGGCACATAAGAAGTTATATGAATAGCACAATTTACATTATTATCATCTGAATAAAATATGATTGTTATCATGTGAATAAAACATGATTATTATCATCTGAATGAAAAACTGAATGTTTATAAAGGTTTTGTTATATATTACTTATTTTTTCTAATTTTAATGGCATGGGCTGTTGCAATAAATATTAACATATTCACTTTACCTTATCAGTTACCATATTCTTAACCTATATTTTATTGCCATGCAGTTTATGAAGCAATTAAAGGAAAAGCAGGCAGAGAAAGAGGGCGAGGCATGGCAGGGTATGAACCCCAACCAGCGCCAAGAGCTGGAGAGTAACATCAGGCAGCTGGGCATGATGGCTCGCTACCATAACGTGATGGGAAATATGACCATACTTAGTCTGGAGATGATAACACGAGAAATTAAAACTATCTTCTGTCATGACGTGATGGTGGAAAGAATAGCAGCCATGTTGAACTATTTCTTATTACATTTGGTAATATAAAATATTAACTATTTCTTTATACATTTGGTTATATAGTATATAAACTATTTCTTATTACATTTGGTAATATATAACTATTTCTTATTACATTTGGTAATATATAACTATTTCTTATTACATTTGGTAATATAATTTATATAGAAAATTTTATGAAAACATATTTGTTAAATACTTCAATATACAGTCGACTCCACTTATAACAAACTCGCTTTTAACGAATTATCGTTAATAGCGAACTAAATCTGACATCCCGGCTTTTCAAGGCAAATTTCCCCATCCAAGCAAGTTGTTGCTACTTCGCTTTTAGCGAACTTCGGATATAACAAACGATATTTTTATGTCCCATTGAGTTCGTTGTAACCGGAGTCGACTGTAGATTGTTATGCAAATTTTGTGAGCGTGTTATGTCAATGTAATATGAAATGTAAAATATGATTTTATTATGTTTATAAGCTTTATTAGTAGAAATTTAAAAAAAAATGTCCTTCTTTTATTCTTATGGTTGAACTATGTTAAAAAAGGATTGACTCCTCGCTCACAAGCGACTTGCTTAGCCTGGCCAGTCTACTGTATCATGTACATGGACAAGACTATCTTGTTATTACTTCTTGATACTGAAACCCCTTGCAGTAAAAATTCAAAGCAGGCCAAGTCCATTCAATAAATTTAGCCATGTAAAGGATGATTATGGATCACAAATCTTAACGATGCAGATGTTGTTGTAGTTGTTGTTGTTTTTAATGCTTTGAAATTATATAACCATTTGACTTTTTTAAAGGAATATTTTGCAATATGTATAGAATTTTTCATCTCATGGTTGATTTAGCATTGTGCAGCTATTTTTAGACACATAATTAATCTTTTTCAGGTAGGACCAAAACAGAGAGATTTAAAAGTGAAGGATAAAAATGAGTTTGAATTCAAACCAGAACAGCTGGTGTCAGACATCACTAAGATTTATCTCAATTTGAGTAACAGTGAGGACTTTTGTAAATCTGTGTCTGGGGACGGACGGTCGTACTCCGAGGAACTGTTTCCGAAGGCGGTCAAAGTCTTACAGAGGATTGGTTGTTCTCCGGTTGTGATCAGTGATTTTGAGACACTTCACACTAAAATTTGTGTAAGTTACTTTGTCATAGAACTGAAAAGGTTGTCATGACAATGGTTTTTTTTGTTTCCTATATAGAATATTATGTACCGCCTCCGTGGTCGAGGGGTTAGAGTCGATGACTTCTAATCCAGTTACCTCTCTGGTGTGGGTTCGATCCCCGGGAGATGCTTTGGTAGTTTAGCATGGAGGAAGGTAGTCTAGTACTGGTGTAACTCTCCAGGAACGATGGTTAGGAAACTACCTGCCTATATGACTGAAATACTGTTGGGCAAAGGCGTAAAATGAAACAAACAAACAAACAAATTGAATATTGTGATATTTTTAGTTTCATATATAAAGGAGTTACTGTTACATATGTAACTTGATAAATATTGAATAGTCACTACTGAATAAACAGAGCAAGCAGTATGTCTTTCTTTTAAATTGAGATTGAGCATTGTTTACAATGAGTGTTTCAAGTATTTAATGATTTAGCACCCCCTATCAAGCTGGTTTGCGAATAATTTCTTCATATCTGCATCAGCAAGTTACATCTTCAAACAATCTATTATCATCAAATTTGTCATTATCTGTTAGCTTTCATGGCTCGATGGTTAAAATCACAGACTTCAAGTCACTTGCTCCTTACCATTGTTAGTTGGAATTCTGTCAGGAACTTTGGTTTTTTATTTCTTGTATGGAAACTATTCAGTTAGTATATATGGAAGGTTGAAGGTATTATTTAAGTGCATGCTTGTACCCGAAATATGCACAGAGGGGTACCCGAGGTCTTCCTCCACCAGTAAAGCTGCAAGTCACCACAATGTTCTTGACAGTGTTGGTGTGACTTAAAAAAAATCATCTGCAAGTTTACAAAAGGTCTTAAGATCAACTCAAGTGCCTTTAAATCTGAATTCTTGCAAGAAAAAGCTGCTTGTATCTTCTCCACAGTGAAAGCAAAGAAATTTTGGCCTTTTTATCTGTGACTTTTAACAAAAGATAATTGAAAACGAAAAAAAGATATATTGATTGATGGTGTTACAGGCAATAGGTCGAGCCCAGCAAGAAGAAGAAGAGCTGCTGGCAGATGCTCCTGACGAATTCCTTGATCCTATCATGGGTACATTGATGAAAGACCCCGTCCTTCTTCCAACATCAGGAAATGTTGTCGACAGATCTATTATATCAAGACACATTCTCAGGTATTTGATCTTGTTTATCTGCATAAATCTGTAAACCTAATTTCTAAATACAGAATTTTCATGTGTTTTTAGCTCACCTGTCACAAAGTGACATGGTGAGCTTTTGTGATCGCTTTTTGTCCGGCGTCTGTTCCTCCGTCCGTCCGCTTTTCTTGTCCGGGACATAACTTTGAAACAACAAGAGATATCAACATGAAACTTTGTAAGTAGATAGATCTCATTGGATAGAACTGCAATGCTAAAGAACCTAAACACAGCCTTGTCTAATTTTGGAGTTATTGCCCTTTGTTCATTTTTACACTTTGAACTTTGTCCGGGACATAACTCTAAAACTATAAGAGGTATCAACATGAAACTTTGTAGGTAGATAGATAGATATCATTGAATAGAAGTGCAGGGCAAAAAACTATAACTCTGCCTTGCCTAATTTTGGAGTTTTTGCCCTTTGTTCATTTTTTTTTATACTTTCCTGTATCCAAAACCGTCACGGGGAGCATCACCCGGTCAGGGTAAGGGTTAAATTATGACATCATCTTATGACATCATGATCATTTTGCTGACATCTGTTTTAATGGTGTCGCTCAGACATCAAATTGCTAAAGGCAGCTAATGTCTGTTTTGTTAATTGACTACTGAATATTTATGTAGTTAGTATTTTATGAACAGTATTTCATCATTATAGATTAGTATTGGGTCCTTAAACAAATCCTGTGATGACTTTTGACTTTCCTATCCATTTTACCATGTTTTGTTATTTTTGTAAAATTTCAGCGATCAAATTGATCCTTTTAATAGACAGCCATTAACATTAGACATGGTGAAACCTGACGATGATCTCAGAAACAAAATACATGCCTGGATACAAGAACAAAAAGCTAAAAGATGATCTTCGTAGCAGTTATAGTTACCTATGAAACAGATTGTAAACTGATAAAGATATTTAAACAGAAGACGACACACACAAAAATATCACAGAAAAATTACGGGTTGCGGGCTACAAGGAAAATTCATTGAAAGACAATCACGGATACCAGAATTGGATTATTGGGAATTTTAAAGGGTTTTATTAATATTTGTTTTGAGCTGCTTATTTGTACACTTCTGTGCACTTTCATTTTCAACGCTGATTCATTTCTGTAAAAGTTGTTATCCAAAACTCTGAAAATATGGGTTTTTCAAGCTACGCCCCCTGTACCAACAAAACATTGACTGTTACAGCTTCACAGTACACTACTGTTTAAAAATAGAATATTTAACCTTGGGAGCTTATTTCCAAAGTTGTAACTGTAAAAGTTTTTTTGGACCCCTGAATTTGCTGGGAAAAACTGGAAAATATTCTTAATTTCATAGTTAGTCAATTAATTTGCATTTGTGTTATGAACATGCATGTATATAATGGACTTACATTTGTGTAATATACTTACATATATGTATTGAACTTGTGTGTGTGCAATAAGCTTACAATTGTGTGATGACTCTAAATTTATAAATTGTTCTTACATATTTGTCATTGTGTGTAATGAACTTGCATTTATTTGACTGACCTTAATTTGGATAGCGACTTTACTCTTGTGTCATAAATTTACGTTTGTATAATGGAGGTATTTGTTATAAATTAACTTTCATCTGTGTAATCAACTTACATAAATTTGTTATTGATCTTTATGTGTGTAATGAACTTACTTGTGTAATGGTCTTGCATATGAAAAAAAAATGGAATTTCTTGACACAAAATTGGAACTGGTTTCAGTATCAGCGATGTTGAAATGCGGCTGTCTGACCAGCCTGTAAAGATGAACAGGCTGGCTTTACTAGTGACATAGGCCTTTTATCACCCTTAATAGTTTGATAGTTATCTTATTCAAGTTTTCCATATATGGTGTGCATTTCTGAGTGGTTAAGGTCGTTGACTTCAAACCATTTGTCCCTTTCCGCTGCGGGTTAGAATCTCGACAGGGACTCTGGATTCTTTCATGTGAGGAAGCTATCCAGCTTGCTTACAGAGAGTTGGTAGTACTACTTGGGTGCCTGTTTGTGCCTGTAATAATGCAAGGAATGGCACCCAAGTTCTTCATCCACTAGTAAAGCTGGAAAGCCGTATGACCTATACTGTGTTGGTGCAACTTAAAACCCAACCCAAGTTATCCATATGGTATTCAAGTTATTATTTACTACACTTACTTACCATACTTTGTTTTATTTTTATTTAAAGGGAAGTTTTTCTTGTACACTCACTTTAATTTGCTTTCTTAAGGATGAAGATCTATATAAATCATGTTGAAAATTGATTTTGGGAAAACAGGATTCATTATGCATATCCATTTGTTTGCTGTAATAGTTCAATGACGTTCTTAACACTTTTTTAGAATACAAAATAAAGACTATAGCACTGTATTCCAATAGCCCACAATGCACATCCCCTTTTATTTTATTTTTGGACTATTTTATTCATTATACAATACCTCATGCTCTTAATTTTGGGACAAAGTTATAATTAGTTGGGACTAATGGTATAAATGTTAAATTCCTTCAGAGATGTATTATAATAAGTTCACATGATGCAAAAATGTATGCAACCATAAACCTGTGGATCAGCAAACTTTGTATGTAACATCCTCGTACCAAGTTAGATTCTTTTTTCGAGTGATGGGGAGGGGGGGGTTCTTTTTTACCAATCCTAATTTATGTAGCCAGGTAGTAATAGTTTGTGAAATTTGTTAAGGACATTTTTGGGAGTTACCATAAAGACATAAAGGCAAAATCAGAACTGTTTTAAACCTGGCATGTTGTTAGAATACGATGATAGAAACATTTTAATTTTGCCTATATGTCTATATGAAAACGTCTTTATGGAAAATACATTGCCTGATATACTAGTGTTGTAGTTACATGTCTGATGTATTGTTCTCTTTCAATAGTTGTGTTAAATCTATTTTGATATTTTGTATGGTATTTTGCAATTGCGCAGCTGAAAGTTGTTACTTAGGATTCAAATTTTATCTCTTGCAATTTCAAACAATTATAGATATACAATGTAGATTGAATTTTAACCTTTAATCCCTAGTTTCTGTAACTTTTCACCCAGAATCTTTTGTTGTGCAATAACTGATTATTATGCCCCCATTTCGAAGAAAAGGGGGTATATTGCTTTGCACTTGTCGGTCCGTCGGTCCGTCGGTCTGTCGGTCCGTCGGTCCGTCGGTCCGTAGACCAAATGGTTTCCGATTGATAACTAAAGAACCCTTAGGCCTAGGAACTTCAAACTTGGTATGGTGATTGGTCATGACAAGTAGATGACCCCTATTGATTTTGGGGTCAAGGGGTCAAAGGTCAAGGTCACATAGACCTTGTAAGCAAAAACGGTTTCCGATCAATAACTAAAGAACCTTAAGGCCTAGGAACTTCAAACTTGGTATGGTGATTTGTCATGATCAGTAGATGACCCCTATTGATTTTGGGGTCAAGGGGTCAAAGGTCAAGGTCACATTGACCTTGTAAGCAAAAACGGTTTCCAATCAATAAGTAAAGAACCTTAAGGCCTAGGAACTTCAAACTTGGCATGGTGATTGGTCATGATCAGTAAATGACCCCTATTGATTTTGGGGTCAAGGGGTCAAAGGTCAAGGTCACATTGACCTCTTTGGCAAAAACAGTTTCCGATCAATAACAAAAGAACCCTTAGGCCTAGGAACTTCAAACTTGGTATGGTGATTGGTTATGACCAGCAGATGACCCCTATTGATTTTGGGGTTAAGGGGTCAAAGGTCAAGGTCACATTGACCTCTTAGGTAAAAACAGTTTCCGATCAATAACTAAAGAACCCTTAGGCCTAGGAACTTCAAACTTGGTATGGTGATTGGTTATGACCAGCAGATGACCCCTATTGATTTTAGGGTTAAGGGGTCAAAGGTCAAGGTCACATTGACCTTGTAGGTAAAAACGGTTTCCTATCAATAACGAAAGAACCCTTAGGCCTAGGGACTTCAAACTTGATATGGTGATTGGTCATGATCAGTAGATGACCCCTATTGATTTTGGGGTTAAGGGGTCAAAGGTCAAGGTCACATTGACCTTGTAGGTAAAAACGGTTTCCGATCAATAACGAAAGAACCCTTAGGCCTAGGGACTTCAAAACTTGATATGGTGATTGGTCATGATCAGTAGATGACCCCTATTGATTTTGGGGTCAAGGGGTCAAAGGTCAAGGTCACATTGACCTCTTAGGTAAAAACAGTTTCCGATCAATAACTAAAGAACCCTTAGGCCTAGGAACTTCAAACTTGGTATGGTGATTGGTCATGATCAGTAGATGACCCCTATTGATTTTGGGGTCAAGGGGTCAAAGGTCAAGGTCACATTGACCTCTTAGGTAAAAACAGTTTCCGATCAATAACATAAGAACCCTTAGGCCTAGGAACTTCAAACTTGGTATGGTGATTGGTCATGACCAGCAGATGACCCCTATTGATTTTGGGGTTAAGGGGTCAAAGGGCAAGGTCACATTGACCTTGTAGGTAAAAATGCTTTCAGATCAATACCTTAAGAACCCTTAGGCCTAGGAACTTCAAACTTGGTATGGTGATTGGTCATGACCAGCAGATGACCTATTGTTTTTAGGGTCAAGGGGTCAAAGGTCATGTAACATTGACCTTGTAGGTAAAAACGGTTTCCGATCAATTAACTAAAAACGCTTAGGCCTAGGAACTTCAAACTTTGTATGATGATTGGTGGTGACCAGCAGATGACCCCTATTGAGTTTTGGGTCAAGCGGTCAAAGGTCAAGGTCACATTGACCTTGTAAGTAAAAACGGTTTCTGATCAATAACTTAAGAATGCTTAGGCCTAGGAACTTCAAACTTGGTATGGTGATTTTTCATGACCAGCAGATTACCCCTTTTGATTTTGGGATTAAGGGGTCAAGTAAAAACGGTTTCTGATCAATAACTAAAGAACGCTTCGGCCTAGGAACTTCAAACTTGGCATAGTAATTGGTCATGATCAGCAGATGACCCCTATTGATTTTGGGGTCAAAGGTCAAGGTCACATTGACCTTGTATGTTAAAACGGTTTCGGATCAATAATAAAAGAACCCTTAGGCCTAGGAACTTCAAATTTGGCATGGTGATTAGTCATGACCAGCAAATGACCCCTATTGATTTTGGGGTCAAGGGGTCAAAGGTCACATTGACCTTGTAGGTAAAAACAGTTTCTGATCAATTAACTAAAAACGCTTAGGCCTAGGAACTTCAAACTTTGTATGATGATTGGTCTTGACCAGCAGATGACCCCTATTGAGTTTTGGGTCAAGGGGCCAAAGGTCAAGGTCATGACCAGTAGATACTTGATAACCCTTATTAATTGTTTGATCACTGGGTCAGAAGTCATGCATAATTACCTTATCACATGAATAATTGGCTGCTGATAGGGGGCATACATGTTTTATAAACATATCTTGTTTATAAATGTATCTCAAAATTGTTCTTTTGAAGGAATAGCAGTCTTTGACTATTGAAACTTTAACCTGTGACCCCACTGTGAAAGGGCCCTGGGGTAAGGTGGGGGTTTCAGTTGACAGATGCATAAGTTATAGAGAAACTCATTTATTGTTTGGAACTTGATAGAGATGATAGAGATAAATTCTCAGTGCATATTGTATATAGATAGTATATCATATTATGAAAATATTATGTTTTATGTACATTATTGTTTAAGATTTTGTTATTTTATTTAAATGTCTATCATGAAAATAAAAATGAAATCAGTGAGAACAGAAATACATTATATATTTTAGTTTTGTATATATTTAGTACAACCTTTGTGTAGCAACTCCCTTTAAGAGACAGATTTTGGTAACATGCCTCTGAGAGGTGTTGCTCTACACAGGTTAAATTTATTGTGAAGTCTTTTGTTTGAAAGACTGATAGTTTTGTTCGGGGCTTTCATTTTTCACAGATTTACACTCTATATCATTGGTTAAAATGCTGTTAATATTGGTTGTATTTTCAGCCTGTAGATTAAAATATCTCCCTTGACCCTTGAGCAAATGGGTTGTTTTCGTTGGCACATCTGTTGCCTCAGATAAAAATGAAAACACTATTGTTGTGAAGAGGTGATTGCTTTAAAGAGGTCCCACTTTGCAGAGGTTGTACTAGATATCATTTATGAAGTATCAGAGTAATGGATGCAATTTGTCTAAGTAGTAAACGTCTAGTTTAAACATTACAACACTAAATATTTTCAATAGACTTGTCCATCTTTCAATCCGGACAGAACCAGTTGTTGTTTTAGGGAATTTTTCAAAATCTGTACTGACTGAATAGCCAATAGAAAAGACCATGAGGATATGGCATATTTATTCCGACTGATCTTGTCTGCATGCGTAGAATCTCTTGCCACCAGCAAGTTAACAAACAATCATTATTTTGTAAACCTGATTGTATCGTATTTGAACCACTTTCAAGGTCTCACAAGTGTTAATCCGGTGTCGTACTAGGAAACATTTTTGTAACCCAAGTCGGGCTCAAACCCATGATTCCTTGGGTGAGAGGCAGACACCTTAACCTTATGCCACTGCTCATAGTAAAGGGTTGTTGACTTAAAAACAATTGAACCCTACTTTTCATTGGTTGAAATAATTCTAGGTAAGCTATGTAATGCTTAACTTGATGAATTTGTGTAATGAATTTGCCCAGGTTTGTATTCAGAGAGATTTTGATATTAAAATACAAAATGGAGCTACAAGTAGTTACTGTGGGTATAGAACCTGGTCAGATTTAAGGGATGGCAAAGACTATCCACTTTTCAAACTGGGATCCAGGAGATAAGGTTGAATCATCTATCCAGAAAGCTTTATAGGAAGTCCTGTAAATATAAAATCAGTATCATGTATGATGTTCACCTGTTCATTTGTCTTTCTCTCCATCGGTTAGCCACATCTACACAATAAATTGATATAATCTTTTAGGTGTGCCCTGATCATAATTAGTGGGGAAGTTGCTTATGACCAGCAGAAGACCCCTATTGATTTTGAACTTGGCCGTGACCCAGTGAGTGGGTGGCCAGTGTCACTCTTAAACCCTGGTCTGATTAATATGTTTGTTCTTGTTGTTTTTTCTCTTTTAAATTGTTTTCATTAAGTACACCTGTGCAATTTACGATACCTCATGCTTTGTTTAAAACTAAATGCAAAATTGTTCTTCTTTCCATATACCTAGATAGATCCAAGTACATGTAGTAATCAAAGATTCACACATCTGCATAAATGAATGTTAAATTCAATAAAAGACAACTTGAATTAAAAAAGGGCTATGTATTTCTAGCAGACGTTAAAATGATACAATATATAAATTTACAAAATAATGAAGATACTAATAACACAGTGTTAATTTCAATGAATTTATTTTGTGGAAAGCCATTTGGGTATAATACAAATGTGATGAAAATACTGTTTGGAAACATAAATAACATAGATTATATCATAATACTTAATTAATGAAAGAAACAAAACTTGTTTTACATATAAAAAATTTATCAACAGTTATTATTATATATCACAATATTAGCAACCACTCTTCACTTTTAATACCTCCAAATTGAAGAGTTAATTAGTGTCCATTCTTTTATTATAAAATTTAGAACAACTAAAATTAAAGTATTATTTCATCAAATTTTATTTGAAATGAATTTGCATCAACAAATTTTTTAGTGTTGCCAAAAGTGACAAAGTCTTTTATCTATAAACTGTACATAAAAAATTGTTAACTCTTTTCAAGTATACTTAATGCACATAAAACTTCAAGTTATATTGCATCACCAGAGATGCTGTTAATATTGGTTGTATATTAAAATATCTCCATTGACCCTTGGGCAAATAGGTTCTTTTCATTGGCACATCTGTTGCCTCAGATAAAAATGAAAACACTATTGTCGTGTAGAGGTGATTGCTTTAAAGAGGGCCCATTCTGCAGAGGTTCTACTATATATCATTTATGAAGTATCAGAGTAGTGGATGCAATTTGTCTAAGAAGTAAACGTCTAGTTTAAACATTACAACTCTAAATATTTTCAACAGACTTGTCCATCTTTCAATCCGGATAGAACCATTTGTTGTTTAAGGGAATGTTTCAAAATCTGTACTGACTGAATAGCCAATAGAAAAGACCATGAGGATATGGCCTATTTATTCCGACTGATCTTGTCTGCTTGCATAGAATCTGTTGCCACCGGCAGGTTAACAAACAATCATTATTTTGTAAACCCAATTGTATCGTATTTGAACCACTTTCAAGGTCTCACGAGTGCTAATTTGGTGTCATACTAGGAAATATTTTTGAAACCCAAGTAGGGCTCAAACCCATGATTCCTTGGGTGAGAGGCAGACACCTTAACCCTATGCCACTGCTCATAGTAAAGGGTTGTTGACTTAAAAACAATTGAAATAATTCTAGGTAAGCTATGTAATGCTTAACTTGACCAAGTTGTGTAATGAATTTGCCCAGGTTTGTATTTAGAGAGATTTTGATATTAACATACAAAATGGAGCTACAAGTAGTTACTGTAAGTATAGAACCTGGTCAGATTTAAGGGATGGCAGACTATCCACTTTTCAAAACTGGGATCCAGGAGATAAGGGAAAATCATCTATCCAGAAAGCTTTATAGGAAGTCCTGTAAATATAAAATCAGTATCATGGATGTTGCTGTCCATTTGTCTTTCTCTCCGTCCTTTATCCACAAAATCTACTCAATAAATTGGTATAATCTTTTAGGTGTGCCCTGATCATTATAAGTGGGGAAGTTGATTATGACCAGCAGAAGGTCTCTATTGATTTTGAACTTGGCCGTGAGCCAGTGAGTGGCCAGTGTCACTCTTAAACCCTGGTCCGATTAATATGTTTGTTCTTGTTGTTTTTTCTCTTTTAAATTGTTTTCATTAAGTGCTCCTGTGCAATTAACGATACCTCATACTTTGGGTGAATATTATGCTCAGACATTCAGAGCTCTTGTTTAATATACTAAAACCGCCTCCGTGGTCGAGGGGTTAGAGTCGATGACTTCTTATTCAGTTACCTCTCTGGCGTGGGTTTGATCCCCGGGAGACGCTTTAGTAGTTTAGCGTTGAGGAAGGTAGTCTAGTACTTGTGTAACTCTCCAGGAACGATGGTTAGGAAACTACCAGCCTATATGACTGAAATACTGTTGGGAAAAGGCGTAAAATCAAACAAACAAAAATAATATACTTAAAAATGCAAAATTGTTCTTCTTTACATACACCTAGATCCAGGTACATTTGTAGTAATCAAAGATTCACACATCTGAATAATTGCATGTTGAATTCAATAGTAGACTACTTGAACTAAAGAAGGGCTATGTATTTCTAGCAGACATTAAAATGATACAACAAATAAATTTGCAAAATAATGAAGATACCAGTAACACAAAGTTAATTTCAATGAATTTATTTTGTGGAAAGCCTTTTGGGTATAATACAAATGTGATGAAAATACTGTTTGGAAACATAAATAACATAGATTATATCATAATGCTTAATTAATGGAAGAAACAAAACTCGTTTAACATATAAAAATTGATTAACAGTTATATATCACAATAAAATATGTGACCTTAGCAACGACTCTTCACTTTAAGTACCCCCAAATTGAAGAGTTAGTTTCTTCAGTTTTAAATACATGTACATTTAAAATGTAGAACAACTAAAATTCAAGTATTATTTCATCAAATTTTATTTGAAATGAATTTGCATCAACAAATTTGTGTTGTCAAAGTGACACAGTCTTTTATCTATGAACTGTACATAAAAAATTGTTAACTCTTTTCAAGTATACTTAATGCACATTTAACTTCTAGTTATATTTTGTCACCAGAGAGCATCATATAACATTTTATATTCTAAAAAATAATGTATATTTAAAATACTAACTCTACCTCTCTATTATGCTTTGATTATTGCAGTGAACAACAATTTTTCTTGCACATGTTCATAAAGCATATATAACTGGTGAAAGGGTTATGAATTATTTGAAAAGTAATACAAAATATCAAAAAAATAAGAGAAGATTATGCTTCAAACATCATGAACAGAAAAGATGTGTCATTTTCTATTAAAAATGGACAAGTAATCTAAGTTCTGGTGGTTAAACCAAACGTAATAATTTCCCCTTGACATCAAAATTTCAAAGTTATAAAATAACATAAAAGGCCTGACAAAAACTTTTCGCCAGGATTTTGCAATATATTTTAGTTTTACAATTAAATGAAAATAAAAGTACCGTATATTCTTTAATAAACACCCCTCTCCTAATAAAGATAAAGAAAATTGAGAAGCCAAAAATATTATTTTATTTTGATGATCTTTAATTTTTTATGTACATTAATATTAATCCCCCCCCCCTCAACTTTTTTGAAAAACAAAAAATGAAATGCATGTGGGGCATTTATCACAGAATATACAGTATTTGGCAAGCTTATTGAAGAGATTACAATAAATTAAAGGAAATAACAGGACAAACTAATGTAATAACATGATCTAAAAACAACAAAATACTCTGATTGGCACACATGACACACAAATGCAATAAGAAAAACAGTACAGAATTTTCATTGTAACAAATATTAAATGCATTTGCATAATGCATAATATACACATATTTAACAGAATTCACTTGCTTATAATAATATAATTTCCCTCTTTTATTCAAAATGATATACTGAACAATAATTGGATCACAGGTGAACAGAAAATGGATACTACCATATCGAGTGTTAAATTTAGACTTTGTCTTATAAATAAATTGTCTTATAGACAAATAAATACAGTAAATCAAAAGACTTAATCCATTTATGCATATACTACACAAAACTTTTTAGTATAATTTCAAGACCTTGGTAAGCCTGTACCATACTGAATAGAGATAAACATATTTTCGTAATATTAAGTTTTGTCTTAGTGTACTTAATGTAATACACACATTCCATTGTACTTCCATAGATGACCTTGACAGCTTTTTTTCCTTTAGAAATGTTTGCTAATAAAAATTCCTATGTTATATTTTTCATGAAATGTGTGTTTTGATAAATTGCTGTAAAATTTTTGAGTTATTAAAACAACAAGAACACTCTGTAGATAACAGTAATGGAATATTCAAATATATTATGCATATTATGTTAACGAGACCTATTTTGATTAACCTAAAATGGTGGTATGTTCTCGCCGTACAGCATGTAACACTTTATCTCCAGATATTCTTCTGTTGTTTTCCTTCCAGGCCGCACCTCCAGTTTCACCTGAAAGTAAAAGTTATTTTTCTCTAACTTCTTGTAATATCTTTTTTTTTATTAATAAATATAATTATATAAATGTGACATTCCCCTGTGGGTGATAGAAATGAAAACTATCCTAAAAATCTAATCTAAAATGCTGGAACTCAAACTGCAAGACCTTTCATTGCCATCATTAAGGAGTCAGACCCAACTACCCATATGTACAGCTAAAAAAATCGAATGTCTAATCTTATTTTCATTATGATATCCCTTGACCCTTAAGTCTGCTGTTAAACAAAGTCTATCAATGCACCATGTTACATAATCTATGTACCATGTTACATGTATTGACTTAAACCTGCTTTAACCAGAAATGATTACATTTTTGAAACAACTATAGAGCTGGACTATCCTACACTTCCATAGAACCTGACCAGGCTCTATACTGTTGGCTGACAAATATCCAATGTCCTTCTTGATATCAATATACAGTTCCAAAAAACTGAAGCTGGACAAATTATTTAAGAAAATGAGTGTATTCAGAGTAAAAATTGATAATAAAATATTTTAAAATAGAAGTTGAACAAATTAACAGATAAAAATGGTATATACCTGTTATAACATTATATTCCTGTCTTACAGGATAATCTCTCGGAACACCGGTTCCCAGCACATTGCCAAGTTTACTGTGAATTCTTGTATATTGTGTGAAATAGTTTGACGAGCTGGGATCCACTTTTATACTTTCTTTCATATCAGCACCTTCTGTTTGATCAATTCTGTTGACTAGGGAAGTTAAATGTAATCTATTGGCCTGGAACAAAATAAAGATGAATGAATGAAATAAAAAGTGTCTTTTATTGCCATATGTTGATTTGACATTTTTCTCATGCATTCATGAGCAATTCTTTTTTATATATAAATTTGGCCAGCACAAAAGTGCTATTCATCTTACTTGCTATTTCAATTTGTCATAGCTGCAGTTTATCTGGTAGTACTGCTACTTCATATGGATAAATTAAAGCCTTGGCTGAGAGTTATAAAAACATAGTGCTAAACCTAGAAGTTTCTTCATTTTTGCTTAGTCATTTTAACCCTAAACCTACTTAACCAAAAGTGATTAGCCTTTCCCATCAGTAAAGGGCCAGGCCAGCCTGTATTTCTGTGCAGTCTAGCCAGTCTCTCTATTCCAGTTTGTTGCTCAGATACATATATTTTGTGTTCGATATTGAAATCACTTATTCTTCAAATGAGATGGTCCAAATTAAAGGCAGGGTAAATTCCAAATTCAAGGCAGGGCAAGTTCCGAATTCATAGCAGGGAAAATACCAAATTCAATGCAGGGCAAGTTCCAAACACAAGCAGGGCAAATCCATTACAAAAATTTAGCAGATTCAGAAAAATGTTCAAAGGCAAGTTTATAGGGTTTTATCATCATCATGTGATCAAGTGTGGAGTATCATGTCATTGTATCTTTTTCATTATATTTGACTGAAGCAACCTGTAGGAGAGAATTGGCCTGGGTTAATGACTTTCTGGCTGACTTAAATGATGAATCATGGTTCTAGCCTTTGTATTTAGGTCACAACCAGTTTTCCCTCATAGGACACCAGTAAAGGTTAGTTCCTGGAAGCAGGCTTAAAAGTGGGTCAATAATATCCTTTAAGCATAGACTATTATCAAGCTTAAAAATAAGAATGTTTCAACTCAGGAGCAATCATAGGTCACTTCCATCTTAGTGCAGAAACAAGTTAACTCACATAAAAAATTAATAGCAGTTAACCCGATACTGCACTTAAGTGAAGATATACTATTGCTTATGTAACTGAATGATTGTTGAGGTAGATGCTTAGTCTTAGTATCAAACAACATATATATGACTTATTTTATATCAACCTGTGTCCTTTTTCAAGACATGGTCCTATTTCAACATATTTTTATGTTCATTTTCTATCTTACCTCCATGTCCTATTTCGCCAAATTGTCCTTTTCAAAATATGGTCCTATTTTGATATACATAATTTATATACATGACTTGTATACTACATCAACATATGTCCTAATTTCACACATGGTTCTTTTTTATCCATTTCAACATGTGTTCCTTTACAACACATTGTCCTTTTTCAACACATGTCCTAATTTCCATCATAATCATGTCCTAATTAATTCAACAAGAGTTCTATGCCAACAAGTGGTGTATCTGTACAAATGTCTATTTTATGTATATATTCTATGTACCTTTTGTGTACAAATTGAAGTTACTTGAAATTCTGATCATAACTGATGCAGAATGTAATAAGGTAAGAAGTTCAAGACCATTGAATTCTGAAAGTATTTAATGCAATCATGTATGTGAGAACTTTCATAAACAACAAAAATTTTACACTTACAGGTATTATAGGTTTTTCCATGAAAGTATTTGTATAATGAGTATTCCATTCCGAGTTTTCATCCCTGGGATGAACCAGTTTGATTTGTGATGTATGCATTGATGGGCACAGTGGTGGACGACGTACTGGGTTCAAGCTCTTACTTCCTCCAAAGTTCTGAAAAAATATATTTATAAAACATTGTTACTTTAAAAGTACTTAACCTTATTACTGCACTAAAGTGACAAATTATGATGGTATACCACTGTCATAACAGATTTACAAATGAAAAAAAAAAATCCATTTTGTCATCATTGTTCCTAAATAACCCTACATAGAGCGAGTATGTCTTTATTGCATCCCAAACCCCACCCCCACGTTTTAAGATTTTGGGTATATATTGATTAGATTAGGTATAGAAACACTAGTTTCTATGGTGGCTGATTTGTGCCATTTGTGTTTTCGCACGCGACCCCGTCAAGCGAAAAGTCAAGAATTAACAAGTTAAAACGGGTAGTGGGACAAAAACATGCAAATTAGCGAGGGCGTGGGCCGAAGTTTAATAAATAAAACTTCGCCCGGCAGGGAAGCGGGACAAGTTTTACAAAATAAAACGGCGGGGGCACGGAACGAAAACACACTAATAAGCAACCCACGCTAATTAGCGCCCCCGCTAAGCTTGTTTACACTCCGCGCCCCACCAATTAAACTAGTTAATTATTGACTTTTTGCTAGGTGAGGTTGCGAGACGAAAACATGCTAATTTGCGGTGGCAGTGGCGAAGTTTTATTTGTTAGCCATCCCGTTGTTTTATTTCTTAAATCTTGCTCCGCGCCCCGGCGGGACGAAGTTTTATTTATTAAACTTCGCCCTGTGCCCTCGCTTATTAGCTTGTTTTCGCTTCGCGTCCCATCCATTTTAACTAGATAATTTTCCACTTTTAGCTTGGCAGGGTCGGGGGACGAAAGCACGCTAATAAGCGTGGGTGTTGGCGAAAATTTATTTATCAACTTTGCCAGCACCCCGGCTAATTAGCATGTTTTCGTCCTGCAACCCTGCCGTTTTATTTCTTTAATCTAGCTCTGCGCCCCCTTGGGACTAAGTTTTATGTATTTAACTTCGCCCCACGCTCTGGCTAGCGAGTTTTCGCTCTGCGTATGAAAACAACTGGCAAATATTAACTTTAACTTAGTGTCAAGTGAATGAAAACATTCCTTTAAGTTTTGAGAGAGCATAGATCAAAATAAAAGTCTGCCTGAAAGAAGTATAAAATCCTAATGCTTCCAGTTAAAAATGTATATTTACTTCGTAAAATGAAATCAAACATGTTTTCTTTCAGTTTATTCCATATTTTGAAAAAGAAACAGTCTCTGGCTTTCACAATGAGTGAAAAACAGTGACTGATACAGAAAATATCTCATTGATTAAAAAAAGTATACATTTTATTGATTTGTATGAAAGGAATATATCATATTTGAATAGAGCAAATTTAAATTCAATAAATGATTCGTTAAAAGTAATTAAATAAAACAAACCGATTGTCACAGGGAACAAATAAGTTACCCACCTTTGACAGACAGTAAATGAAATTAAAAACTATGGTTTTCTCATAATCATTCTAAAAATCAATTTCAAAATTATATTATCTACCTTTTCAACTTACCTATTTTAACAATATAGTAAAATCAATTATAACAATGGTCAATTTTTAAAACCATTATACATATAATAAAACTGACTGTGATCACAATTACTGTAACACAAACAAATTCAATATCCTTTTCTAACACTGCGATACTTTAAATTAAAAGAACACAACAACAAAAAATGTAAAAAAATATATATAAACAAACTGTAATTTTAAATCCTCGTAAAGTTTGTTTGAAAGTTAATCTTTTTTAAAGCCTAATGATTTATGAAAAGAAGAAAAAATATATATAAATAACACACATCCGAGTTGAAATAGCTCCAAATCTTATCACTGTAGATTTATTTTATTTTATACAGATGTCTCCAAGGCCAACTGGGTCTTTGACATGTAAAGCGAATTTAATAGACTTGAAATGACATTAAGAACGCAAAGTATGAGGTCAGGTAATGATATACGTACGCTCTTTCATTCTCCAACGGAGCTCTGAAGAGAATTAATTTTTCTTCAATACAATGTTTAGAAATCAATACGCCAGTTTTACTCTGTTTTTCTTTTTTATTTCAAACATTAAGGTGTATGTTTGGCCAATTGTATGGTTTTTAAATACGTTATTTAAATATCTGTAACTTGCAGATAATCTTTTAATACCCATACTTTATTGGAAATATACTGTTTTATGATCTTTAAATGAATGCTCTTAAACAACTTTAAAAGCCTTTGGAAAATATTTAAACACAAAGAAGTAACGCGTAGATGTGTTTCACATAATGTTTAAGCCGATTATCTGTGGTATAGTATAGCATATGTAAATTCTAATTTGAACTAAAAAATTTTTTACTTAAGAGCATATATCTCTTTTTATTTTTTTTTATCTTATTTACGGCTGAAAAATTTCTTTCTATATATATATCAATCAACAAATTGTAATCATTATGCACTTAAATACTCTCAGGCGAGGGATTGATTAAATATTTACTTAAATTTCCAAACAAATATCTACATGATGAGTTTTAGTCAGTTTCATCCTCAACTCGCTGAATTTCTAAAATTGATTTGTCCAGCTTCATTTTTGGAACTGTCCATTATCAATTTTGAAGATATCAAAATGAAAATTTAACATATAGAGCCTGATCAAATTGCACAGGTCTGCAGACTGGCCTGGCTCTATATTGGTTGAAAAGACTATTAATTTATGTTGCAGAGGGCAATTCTTATAGCAAAAAGGAAAGGAGAAAATATAATATAAACAGTGTTTATTATGTTATGGAAATGATGCAATACCACTATTCTGCAATGTCCTTATAGCTGCCTTAACTTTAAGAATTGTAAAATAGAGTTGAGACCCCTTGCAACCATAAGACTTATAATATGCAGTCATAATTTCTAAATCTATTTTTATTTCATTTACAAGCAATGCTTAAGTTCTTTTTTTCTTTAAAGGCCCAATATGCCTCAAAAATGCTTCTATATTTATTTCTCAAAAACTCAATAATTTTGGTGAACATTTATTGTATCCAAAAACTTTCTTTATCTTTTTATTATGTATCATAAAGATTTTATCTGTATTATCTAAACCATTTTTTCATGTGTTGCTTTTTGGCATTTAAAGTACAGATAAGTTACTTCTTTGTTAACATTTTGCTATTTTTATGACATTAGTTCACATTTATTGCTACTTTCTCCAGATGACAAGCATCTAAGATTTTCTAAAACCATTATTTAAACATTATAAAATTCATGATTGAGCTTTTGAAAGAAGTAAAAGTGTTATTTGTTTCTGAGGCATAATGTGCCTTTAAGGAATAAAGTGTATAAACTCATATACTAGTCATACTGTCAGTGTGGGATTTTTTTCTGGGAATTTCTCACCTTTTTTCCAGAATTATCATTTTTTCTTGAGCAAAATGACACAAAAATGAAAAGCACTGAAACAATTCATTCAAATCGGGCTAAGAATTCCACAGAAAATCAATATTCAATTTAATTCTGAGTAATATCTTTATTTTCCTATGCAGATTTTTCAATTAGAGTGCTTCATTTGATCTACAGTATGTAAAAATTTCAATTTTATTTTGTTTAGGCTGTTTGACCTCAGTTGAGTCCTAAATTAATGTTGTTAAAAGGAAATGGTTCTATAGAGGGTTGCACTGCAGAAGTTCACAAGAATGCATGTTATAAAAGAAAATCTTCCAATGAATTGATTATCATGCAATACAGACTTACAGTAAACTCACCCAAGAAATAATTTAAAGCTTGCCACATGCATATTTGATAATGTTTAATTTCCTTAGACTTCTTTATTCCTTAACCACAGAATTTCATAAACGTATTTGTCTTAAGCTTCCATTTTTATATCTATATCTCATTAAATATTTTTATTTTTGGAGATATCAAGATAAAAAATTTAAGTTTGTCAGCCAACATTATTAACAGAAAGAGCCTTGTCAGGCCCTATACTGACCAGTGGCACAGCAGGTAAAGGGAAGTAACTCTAGTAATGTTAGATCATATTTTATGATTTTAAAATGCTGACCCAAATTATGCACGTGACAAAACTATTTTTCGATCTGAAGATGTCTTTATCAAATTCTCATTAAATACCTATTGAGAGACACCCTTTTCTTCAATATAAAAGACGCGTATTTTGAAATTGAAATTTCAAATTAAAATTTACATTAAACATACAATAGAAATTTAATAAGTTTATTATATTGAAAAAAAAAAATTCAAAGGCAAAGAAAATGAATTTAAATATTTTTTTTTAAAATTAGTCATCTTGTCACTTCTATTCTTATAAACTCTTTAAAAAACGTTCTTTAAACTGTTAAAAAATCATTCAAGAAAAATGAAAACTGACTCCTATTTACCTGCTATATAGCATTTATGAGTGGAATTCTATGTGGAGTACAATAAACTCAGCAGGGTGGCTATGTTATCAATAGATAACATTTCTGTATTATGAATTTTTATGATTTATTTCTGCGTTTTTCTCTTGTAGTCAAACAATGTTTGATACACGATGAGTGAAATACACAATTTATTATGTCATTTTAATAGGGCTGTTCATATTTGTTTAGTATATTTAATTTGGCAGGATATATGATATGAATAATAAAACGTTTGAAAATGACAAGACGTGTTTTATATTTTCGATATTTATAAAACATGGAAACTATTAACTATAATGTCAAATGGTACTCCTTTTATCTAAACTCTCAAAATAGTAAAAATATGTTATATTTTTAAAATAAAAATTGAATAAAATAATATTTTTTTTTTATTGTGTTTTTTTTTAACTGATAATTGGTTTAGACTATAGTAGTCCTGAGTCTAGAACATACCCAGAACTATAAGCAATATTCTTTTATATGAATAAAAAATGTGACAATGTATAAAATAGGCTAAAATCTAGAAGATTTACATTTTCTATCCATTTTTTCTCTTTCAAATTGGATATAAGTGCATTGTATTATAAATCAGATTTGTAACTTTTTTTTAAGTTATCATAAAACTCCAAAAAAGTAAT